TGATATCAAGCGGGTTCCATCGGCCAACCTAACCTGTATTGAGGTCGATGGAAGTGATTGATCAACAACCAGGCCTGCAGAAGGAGTTGGCGCTGTGGTAAGTGTTGCGGCCGCAGTTGGGTCAGGAGCCACTGACGTAGAGCTGCTTCCAAGAGTTCTTCCCACTCCCTGAAATGGAACATGCTGCTTTTCGGGTTCCTGTAAGCATGACCAAATGCACTCATAATTTACACATTGGGCGTGTTTGATTTCAGATACAAGTAGTTATGCATAACGAAGTAACTCAACTGCATTTCAAAATGCAAAAGTTCAAAAGCTCCAAAACTAGTCAACAATGCCAACTAATTCATTGTGGTTTAATAGTAATTTGGACACAGGCAAACCAAAAAAACTAACAGGAAACTTACAGGATAGTTCTCATTCCTCCTTATGAGGTTAACATTAACAGATGACCTCCTATCTGCAGGTTCAAGATCTTTAGGACATTCGGATTTTTTTATGCTCTGCATTGAAAAACAGCAAATATCATTAAGCACAAAGAAACCATTTTATGTAACCAGTAAGAAAGTAATAGTAGCCCTAACATGTTTCTGCGGCAGCTTTCTTACATGGTCATGAATTACATTATGGAAGCAACTCGCAGAATACTTTTAATAAAATATGCTTAATTTCTGAAAGGATTTAAATACAAAAGTGAATTGTAAGTGAAATTTTTTACGTCATTTCATAATTTCCTGAACATTATTCATCGAATCTCAATCCTCTAACTTCATAATTTGCATTTTCTGGTACACAACCTCAGTCCATGAAGGAATCAGAATCTAAATACCATCACCTCTAAAAATGAGGCATTTTCAGGATCGTCCAATCTCCTCAAAGGTCCGTCATTTACAGTGAAACCATTACTCCAGAAAACAATGTTGTGAACAACAGACTCAGGTTGCTGATTAGTGGTAGATTGTGCAGTTTCCCCCGAGAGTAACCTGCCAGATCCAGTAAAGCTAGTTGACCTTGGAGGCTCCTGAAGCTGATCAAGAGGCCTTTCAACAGCACCAAGCTGCCTAGCTTGATTGAAAATTGCACCCACGTCATTTCCCTTTGAAGGATCCTGAACAAGCATTCCACTGGAGATATAACGTATAATGGTTAAATACTTTGTAGAAAAGAATCAAGCCATAAAATCAAATGAAATAGATGTGAGCATCCATAAATCTTTTAAAAAATTGAGACACCAGTAATTTTAATATCCAAATGTCAAACACTTTCCACCAAGGTAGTCAAAAGTGCTTTTTTCTCTGTAAGGTGCTTGTTTGAGGTTCTAGAAAAGTAAAACATACAAGTATACAGCTACGTTGGAAATTTTGAAGAGGATGAAGTGGGATGTAGGGTACCACTCTATTTGATATTTTTAAAGAAGGAATGGTAGGGATCCCTTTCCTTTGTTTGAAAGTAAGAAGATAATTATTTGATTGGAGTAAATAACAATTATAGATAACTTCCTAAAAAGAAAAAAAAAAAAATTGTTCCATCCAAAACCCTTTAAATAATAGTATGGAAATTTTTAGAGCTAGGACTGGTAAGGTGGTTTGTGTTACCATCCTTAATCACTCCACTTCATTACCTTAAAAACTCTCAAGATGGGTTGATTATCTTTTATCATTTTGCTCCATCCATTCAAAAATAGCTTAAATGTGAATACACTACATAATATATAAAATATCACTATAAATTCAGATATATAGCTATCCCTATCTATATGTTCAAGCTACTAAGCTAAATAATTTGATAAATTCAGTTTTTTAGAATTAAACTAGCTTAAAGCAATCATCACGTGGGCAATGCTAAAAGTCATGATATCAAGTTTTACAAAGTCATGTAGACTTCAAAGGCTATCAAATTACAGAAGCATTGCTATTAAACCTCGGAAGAGTAAAGATATTTCCTGTTTGAACAAAAAAGATATCACCAACTGATAGAACACATTGGAGTTTTTTTCATTTTCTTGCCCCTTTCTTTAACTAGCTAAGATGAATCTGAATGGGTTTTCAAAAGCCCACCACCTAAACCAGAAGGAAAAAAAAAAAGGTAACCCAAATTTAAATTTTATTGCTTTTAATGCCTTAAGATTAGTTTTCAAATGCTCACCCAAAAATGAGTTATCGGAAAATCAGAAAACACTTCATACTAGTAAAAGTGCAAAAGATTAAGTGCATGTCTTTGTTACCATTCACCGGCGTCCAACTTACATTCGCAAAAGCCCCTATTGCTACTTATACATTGAGTGCATGTTTGGTTTTGCGTCGGATTAAGCCAAACTGGATCCATGATTTATATTCAAACTAAAATCACTTTTAAATAGCTTCCATTTTTCACACCAAACACACACTGAACCTACACTAGAATGACCGTTACCGTATTTTCAACAGCAACACAAACATGCGCTAAGCTGAAACCTAATCACTAATTCCTGTTTGATAAATCTTCCTCTAAAATATAAAAGCAGTATGTATTGAATATAAATTCAGTTTAGTTTCTGGTAATTAGTTTGTTACAATCTGATTTGTACAGCCGTAAAACTATCTTGTATATAAGATGTACTTTGCCTAACATTCAATACAATTACACTTTTCATCCATTCTTTCCTTATAACAGTATGTCGTCAATCAAGTTAACCCAGGCAAGAGAAACGAGGAAGAAAAGTCATCATCAATCAACAAAAACAAAAAAACAGTTGCAATCTATAATAACACCCCCCCCCCCCAACACATTAAAATTTATAAAGACAAAACGAAACATAGCATAAATTGAAACTCTGATTTCAATCATTCACGAATACTATATGATTGAAAAAGAAAAAATTGTTCCGAAAATCAAACCTAGTTGATTGACTGGTGGTACGCCAGCTTGTTGTAAGTCAATTCCAATAATTCTTGCAATAATAATCGGTAAGAGAATATATTATACAACAAATTAATGCATACAGGGTGTTATTAAGAAGTTTCTGAAGTTTCTAAAATGAGGAGAAAGATTGGGAAATAAGAGAACCTCTTCTCGCCGCCGGTGTAGTACTCCTGAGGGCCATCGGAATCGCTGTCGGAATCCGCGGACGGACGGTTCAGATCGGAGAGAGTGCGAATTCTGCCTGCTCGGCTGCTCGATGCCTTTTTGTTGTCCCGTGACGACATGTCTGATGAAGATTTAACAAGACGAAGCGCAATAGAGATAGAGGGTGGGTGAGTGTGTCGGGGTGACTCTATGAAGAAGATTGAGACTGAGGCGTGCTATGCGCACAGTTGCTGCCAAGTAGTTCTTTGTGATGTCTTTCTTCTTCTAAGATTGCCCAGCTCATTCACGTAACTCCATTTGTTCACCATTGTTTTAAATATCAAAATTAAAGTAATTTTTTTATGAAAAAAAAATTATTTGATACAACGAATATATTTGTAATTTGTAATCTTTTACTACTTACTATGCCCCTTTAATTATAATAGAAAAATAATACTCTCAACAATAAACTTTATCCTAAGCAATTATTTGACAACTTTTTTATAATAATAATAATAATAATAATAGTAATAATAATAATTTTTATATATTTTTATTATATAATTATCAAAATATCATTATTCTTATAATTGTTGTCAAGATTTTTTTTAACAATATAATGTAATTAAAACTGAAAAAATTATCTAAAAAAATTGAAACTTAAATGAATAATAAATTTAAAAAAATCGATTGAATTGATTTTTGAATTTGATTTTAAAAATTTATTTAATCATATCCACTTTTACAAATATAAACAAACTTTAAATAATATATGCTGATAAAATAATTTTAAATCGTGAACTAAATAAAAATGTTGGTTGGTATACTTTTAACAAACTTATTAAAATTCATTATTAATAATTGAAAAAATATATAAAATTATATTTAGAGGATGAATAGGTTATATATATATATATATATATATATATATATATATATATATATATATATACCCGCCTTTTTATTGGACTATGTCATTTTTTTTTCACTACAATTATTATATTATAACATTATTTATATATATATATATATATTGACATGTATATTAGTATCAGTTTAATATATTTCTTAATACATGTTTATCAATAATTCTTTTAGTTCTAGTGCCTTATATTGTTTATTGTAATTTTAATATGTCAAGATGTAATATTACACAATTTAGAACTAAAATCATATTTTAAAAATACAATTGCGTCTACATGTTCCAATTTCTATTGTGTTACATGTCAATTCCATCAAAATTTATATGTTGAGATTTACTTCCATTCCATACACATTAACTTTATATAAGTAATTAAATTTTTCTTCATACATATTTATTGTTACAATTAAAAAAAGAAAGAAAGAAAGATGTGTGCATATAATTTATGATTACTCGATAATTTTATTTTTTTCAACAAAAGAAATAAACATGTGTAGAAAATTAAGTGTCTATGTGTGCACACGTGTGTGCTTTCTTTTCTGGTGACTAAAATTAAAATCCATGTGTTTTTCACATCCCTTTTTTAAGGAGTATGCAAAACCAAAGCAGATGTAATATAAACAGACTTGTTAGCTTTAGAAGAAATATAATATAATATAATGTAACCACACTTGGTAGTTAACAAAATTTCAAAATCTGACTTCGAGGGTTATCCTATATTTCAGTGAAGTGTTCAAATATAATATCAAGCTCAATCACTAAGCCAGCTAGAAAGAGGACACAACACAATCATCATAGCATAATTAGGTCCAAAGCAAAGCCAAGTGAAGCCATCCAAGTGGTCCTAAAGCAAATAGATTACTTGATAAATATTGAGCAACAAAAAGAAAATGTCCCCCCAACACTGGGGGATTCCTATATGTTTTTTACTTTATGGCAATAAAAGTACCTCACCTCTACAATCACCAATAAAACCGGATCCCTTCAATGCAACATTTAACAGTAACGACCAATACCATGGAACAGCAGTCTGCTAGAATTTCTGTATGACAACTGAATTTGCCAGTCCTGCCTGTTCTATGGTCTGAGTTTCATCAGTTAGAACCTTTGGGGGAAAACCCATCATCTGAAGTTGATAATTCTGCCGACCCTCAGGTCTAGATGCATCAATGAAGGCACGGATGTCACTGACCGTGTGGTGATGATTAAAATTTGATATCAAGCGGGCTCCATCAGCCAACCTGACTTGTATTGAGGTAGATGGCAGTGATTGATCAACAACCAGGCCTGCAGAAGGAGGTCGTGCTGAGGTTGGAGGTGTTAAGGCAGCAGTTGGGTCAGAAGCCACTGATGAAGAACTGCTTCCAAGAGTCCTTCCCACTCCCTGAAATGGAACATGCTGCTTTTCGGGTTCCTGTAAGAATGATTTAATGCACTTTTCATTTACAGATTGATGGTGTTTGATTTCAGATACAAGTAATTATGCAAAACAAAAGACCCGTATTGCATTTCAAATTGCAAAAGTTCAACACCAAAACTAGTAAACAATGATAACCGAATTCATTGCGGTTTAATATAAATCGGACAAGACAAATGAAAAGACTCAAACAGAAACCTCACAGGATAGTTCTCATTCCTCCTTATGAGGTTAACATTAACAGATGACCTCCTATCTGCAGGTTCAAGCTCTTTTGGACACTCCGATTTTTTTATGCTCTGCATTAAAAAATAGAAAAATCATCAAGAACAGTGAAACCCTTATAGTAGCCCAAACACATTTCTGGGGCAGCATTCTTACACAGTCTTGAGACAAATTATGAAAGCAAATACTTATAAAATAAAATATGCTGGATTTCAGAAAGGATTAGAATGAAAAAGTGACATTTAACTGAAATTTGTTAGATGTTCTAGTATTTCCTGAACAATGTTCACCAAAAACTCTATCCTCCAACATCATCATTTGCCTCTCCTGGAACACAACCTCATTATTTCCAAATTATTTTACCATTAATGGAATCAGAATCTTAAATACCATCACCTCTAAAAATGAGGCATTTTCAGGATCGTCCAATCTTCTCAAAGCTCCATCATTTACAGTGAAACCATTACTCCAGAAAACAATGTTGTGAACAACAGCCTCAGGTTGCTGATTATTAGTAGACTGTGCAGTTTCCCCGGAGAGTAACCTGCCAGTTCCAGTAAAGCTAGTTGACCTTGGAGGCTCCTGAAGCTGATCAAGAGGCCTTTCAACGGCACCCAGTTGCCTAGCTTGATTGAAAATTGCATCCACGTCATTTCCCTTGGATGGATCCTGGACAAGCATTCCACTGGAGATATAATGTACAATGGTTAAATACTCGATAGAAAAATAATTAAATCATAAAATCAACTGACATAGATGTGTATTTCTGCATATATTTTGAAAATTTGAGACACTAGTAATTTTAAATTTCTAAAATTCAAATGTCAAACACTTTCTATCAAGGAAGTCAAAGTGATATTTTACTGTGAGGTGCTTGAGGTTCTAGAGAAGTAAAACATACAAGTATAGAACTACATTTGAAAATTTTGAAGAGTATGAAGTGGAGTAGTTTGGAATTGGATGGAATGGTACCACTCTATTATTATTTGAAATTTATAATGAGGGATGGTGGGGCCTTCCTTTTGTTTCAAAGTTAAAATGACGAATACCCGAGTGAGTAGATTACAAATTCATCTTCTAATATTGCCTTTTAATACTTGTGGCAAAAAGTTTAAGGTGTTGGGTTGAGATTATAGATGATTGCTTAAATTATAAAAATAAGTTCTTCATCGAAAACCCTCTAAATCAGAGTACTGAAATTTTGAGTCAGAGTGGTAAGGTGATTTTGTTCCCATCCCTAACCATTAAACTTCATTACCTTAAAAATTCTTCGAAAATGGATTGAATATCTTATTTCATTCTGCTCCATCCATCCAAACACAGCTTAAAAGTGAATACATTACATACTATATGAAAGTATCAGTTAAAATATAAACACGTAGCTATGCCTATCTATATTTTCAAGCAGTAGCTATTTAGTTTGATAAATTCAAATTTTTTGAACTAAAAACAGCTTAAAGCAATCAGCAAGTGTGCAATGCTTAAAGTCATAATATAAACAAAGCGTTTACACAAGTCATTATAGACTTCGAAGGCCATCACTGGGAAGGGTAAACATATTGCCTGTTTGAACAAAATAAAAATCACCAGATGATAAAACACATCCTTTTGAGTTTTTCCTTTTCTTTTTATTGCCCCATTCTTTAACTAGCTGAAATGGATTTGAATGCGTTCTGAAACCCCAACATCTATACCAGAGAAAAAGGAACCAAAATTTAAACAGAAGAGCTTCAAAGTAAAAAGTTCAAAACCTCTCGTTATAAGCATGATTTTATTGCTTGTAATGCCTTGGGACAAGTTTTCAAATTCTTCAACCAAAAATGAGTTATTGAAAAATCTGAAATCACTTTTCACTAGTAAAAGTGTCACAGAATAATAAGTGCATGTTTGTGTTACATTCATTGGCCCCAACTTACATTTCCAGAAGACCCCTTTCCCCCGTTGCTTATTTGAACTTGCAATAGAAGGACCTCTACAGCAGTTTCAACAGAATAAAAAACAAGCGATAAGCTGAAATCTAATCACTAATTTTTGTTTCAGAAATCTTACTCCGTAATATCAAAGCAGTATGCCAATATATGAATGCCATTAATAATTCTAACCAGGCAAGAGGAAGGAAGGAAACAGTTACCAATCAACCCAAACCAAATAGTCACACTCGACAGTCACAAGAGAAACAAAATAGTATTGAAACATTAGAATTTGGAAGACAAAAGGAAACACACGAGCACAATCACAATTCTCAATTCAAATAAACATAAATCATTCTAGAATTTTATTTGATTGAAAAAAAAAAAAACTGTCCCAAAATCTAACCTAGTTCTTTAACTAGTGGTACGCCAGCTTGATGTAAGTTAACTCTAATAATCTTTAGAGTAATAATTGGCAAGGTAATATTTATACAACAAATTAATGGAAACATAGTTATATTATTAAGAAGTTGTTAGAGTTTCTACAATGTAGACTTAACAATAAACTGAGTGGTAACGTTAAAACGCTTCTGTTGTTTCTAATTGTGCTGTTAGAATGCAAAATTGAAGCATAAGTAAATTAATGAAGAAAAAAGGAGAAGGATTGGGAAAGAAGAGAACCTCTTCTCGCCGCCGGTGTAGTACTCCTGAGGGCCATCGGAATCGCTGTCGGAATCGGCGGAAAGACGGTTCAGATCGGAGAGGGTGCGAATTCTGCCTGCGCGGCTGCTCGAAGCCTTTGATGCCTTCTTGTTGTCCCGCGACGCCATATCGATTAAGATTTCACAAATATCGCAACAGAGAGAAAAACTCACTCACTCACCCATTTTTGGTTTGCGATCTGTCTTCTTATAAGCACATATTTTAAGTATATTATTTAATATTATCACTATATTTAATATTAATGTAAGGTATTTTTGTTACCATTTTTAAAAATCCAATGTAATAAAGAATGATATAAAAAAATTGAAAATCTAATAAATAAAAGATCGAACAAATTGGAAATAAAATCTTTTCAAAATTTTGAATTTATTATATCATTTATGTTTGTAATTTTATTTTTTATGAAATTATCATAAAAAGACTTTTTTTATTTACGAAAAATAACTAATTATCAATAAAATTTAGTAACTATTTGAATTTGAATAAATGTATATAAGTTTGATATAATCATCAACTTGTGTAAATGTATATGAAAAATATATTATAAATTTTTCATAATTGTTTATGAATGATTAAAATATTAAAAATATATTTTTGAAATTTTAAATTTTATTAATCATATAATTTTTAAAATTAAAATAATCACTTCTATAAATTTAAATATATTTTCGTAAACTTATAAGCAGAAATGAAAAAAAAAAAACTTTTTTCTTTTTATTGAGAAGCAATTTGCTTTTAGTGTTGCAAAAACGAACCAATTATTAACCAGGCTAAAACACTAGATCAGAAAATTAAATAAATAATTCTCTCTCTCTCTCTCTCTCTCTCTATATATATATATATATATATATATATATATATATCACACTATTTGATAAAACTAACCAAATTAAAAATAATTCTATAACAAAATACTAATATATAAAAAAACGTATTCAATATTAATATAATCATTTAGATTAGATTGAAATTAGTTTTAAAACAAAATAGATTAGAAAAGTAATTAAGGAAACTTAAATAGTTTGATAAATAATTTTTACAATTAATTTAATTAAAGAACAGCAATGTAAAAATGAATTTGATCTTTAATTGTGTTGCAAATCTAATTATGTTATAAGTAAACTTAAATACATAAAAACGTATGAAGTCTTCAACGTTGTAAACAAGTTTGACGAGAAAAAGAAAAAAGAATCTATATATATATAATAAAATATTTATTAATATTTACTTTTAATTTAAATCTTTAATATTTATTATTATCAAACAGGTCAACATATTTTTAAAATAATAAATAATATTATTGTTTAGAAAATATTAATAATCATATTAAATTTTTATTTTAAATATATTAGTGAGCACAAAATGGTTCGTTAAACTACTAGGAATCTATAGTTTTCATCATTATAATATTTATATAAATTAAATATTTTTCAAATGTAATTTATTGCTAAATTTGGTTGTTAATCGTTATAGTTTTCGTCAAGGAATTAGTGACCGACATATTTGTTGGTATTTGTTTAATCTTTTACTATCATATCAGATATTCGAATTTAATAATTTCTTTTTTCTAAGTTGACCCTTGACACTCTTTGCGACCAAAACGTAACTTCTAAATAAAGATCAAAATATTACTAGACCAAAATGAATTTGGCACTAGTTATGTCGTAAATATAATTATATCGTAATTAATTTTAAAGGTATAAACATTTATTAAGTCTTTAATATTACAAGCACGTGTTAGACGAGAAAAAAATGTTTACAAATATCAAACAGCTAAACTTAGTATTTATAATTACTAAATAGCCTAACATCTTTTAGTAATAAACGATAATTTTATTATTTAGACAAAATTATCATCATATTCATTGAAAACATTTAATTTTAAAGAAAATATGAGTAAAATTTTGTCACTAAAATTAACTACCAATATACTTAGTCATTATAGCATCCATATAAATTAAATATTACTGGCCAAATGTTCTTTGTCACTAAATGTTCAAACTCTTGCAAAGATATAAAGTTTTGCTGTTACTTATTTTGCTTTTTTAATTGTTTCAGTGACTGAATATTGTAACATCTTTCTGTTGTTCATTTGGTCTCTAATACTCTTTAGCCGAAGTATCAAGTAAATAAAATCCAAATTATTGTGGGTTTTAGACAAAAAAAAATTACACTACTATTTGATTTTTTGCTACAAATTGAAATTAATGCCATAATTAACCTAGCATGTAAACTAATATATATATTTATAATTATCATAATTTAGTAACATGTAAACTTAGTTTAGTATTTATAAGTAATAGGGAGGTCAACATATTTTATAAATCAACAAAAATAATATAGGAAATATTAGTGATAAACCTTTTTAGTGTTATTTATTTTGTTTTGAACAAGTATTTAAAAATTTTGAAAATTAATACTTTCGTCAAATATTATCTATATAAATTTGGTATTTGATGACCAAATCCAATACGCCCTTATCGTAAGTTTTTACCGAAAAAAATAGCAACCAAAATATTTTATCACTACTTATTTCAACTTTATCCTAACAATTTTTGCGACAAAAATAACCAAATAAAGACCCAAAATTAATAATGTTTTATTGACCAACATGAGTTTAATCACCAATTTTATCGGAAATCCAATTATTTACATATATCAAACAGAGAGAATATAATTTTGGTTTCTACAATACATGATCAAAATTCTTGTATTTTTATTTTGACGATTTTAATCTAAGGGGCGTTTGGTATTAGAATTATTTTTTTAATAAAGGAGAATAATTAATTGTGTGGATTATGATTTCTAGGTATCACTGAATTATGTTTCATTAGTCAAATATGATATTTGTAGAATGAACAGAGAGATAAAAATTTCTCAGTCGCTTAGTATCTTGGGGCGGGAATAGCTTCGGAACTTCGTGCTGTTTGCGGCGGCACTACGCAGCGCCTCTTGTCGGCTCCTGGCGCATTGTATATATTCTTGCAAAGCTGGAAGCTTCGCTTTTTCCCCCTCTTTAGGAACTAGCCCTCGAATAATCTGTTCATCAATTTTAAATAATGATATGATAATGCTTTCATTCAGATATTAATAATTCCCTGTGTTCTTATTTACAATGAGTAGAAAATAAGATATCCCTGACACTAAGACTTGAAATCCAAAAATAAAAAGATATATTTTTTTACCTTCGACGCCCACGATCGTTCTGCTTGCTGACAAACATCTCTAATATCTCTTCCAGACATACTGAAACAATAAGACAACAAACCGATTAACAGGAAAAAAGTGACTCAAAAAAATGAGCCAAATATTAAAGAATGTGTGATGTTGGTGGCAGTCAAACTCAGAGGTCAATACATGTATATATTTCCCTCATCTTCTACCTTTTCTTGCTTTCACTACCAACCAGTTTGTAAATGATAACCCAACTTACTCTTCTGTAACTCTTGCAAGTTCATCCAGTTCGGCTTTGGACAGGTGCTTAGCATATTTAGATGCTATTTCCTGACGATTCCGATGATCAGGTAAGCCAAAGGCGATGATACTATCAAACCGACTAAAAGGAAAAACAGAAAAGAACAGTTAGGATGTGATTCGTGCATGATTAACCCTGAACTTTGCAGGCTATAAAGCAATTCGTATACAAGCTCACCTGATTAATGCGGGATCAAGGTCTTCCTTTCTATTTGTGGCAGCAATGACTACCACTTTCTTATCCTGCTCAAAGCCATCTATCTGCAAAATTTACTCCATCCATCGGTAAATTGTATAAAAAAGAAACCTTCAGCATGTTTGATTCAGTTACGAAGATCGGATCTATTTCTTACTTCAGATCCGGCAAACTAAAAATTCAACATTATAAAATTACAACATCGGTTACTACTGCAGCCAAAACTACAAAGCTCTTAAAAATCAAAGAACATATCATATATTAATCTTGACGTACATATGATGCTAAATAAAACTTACCAGCTGAAAATAAGTATTTATAAACTCTTCACTACAAAATGAAATTTTAAAACTCTAGCACATACTCCTTTTCTAAATATATAGGATATGCAACACGCCATCGCATGTATCAAAGCAGAAACCAAGAAGATTAACCTGTCTCAACAAGACCGACAATATTCTTCGCGTAGCTTCATGCATTTCACTGTCACGCGCAGCAGCAAAAGAATCAATCTGTATCCCACAAACAAAAATAAAACTAACAATATGTAATGAAGTTTTCTGGAAAATCAGTAAGTCACACACAGCAACTCCTTATCAACATTCCTCGTTATGTTACCTCATCCAGAAATATAATAGCACCATTCGGAAGATTGTTTGCAAGCGAAAACACTTTCCCTAGAAGACGTTCACTTTTACCGTAGAACTCAGACATTATTGCCTCGAGTGGAACATATAGCAAAGGCACACCCTGCCAGTCAAGGTCACAGATTTCAGTTCACTGCGAGCACAACAATACAAATTCTACTTGATTTACCCCACATAATTTATAATATATTGTAGACAAGCAAGAACCAATAAGCATAGTTATAATTACGTTACCATATTGAGTACAGCACAGCACTTTACACATGTTCTCAGAACCATGAGCATCGTTTTATAATTGTTTTCAATTAACCAGATAACATGAAACGGGTTGTGTACAGTCATGGTTGACTTATTTTACTACCAGTTAATTTGATCAGCCGCACCCCTACCCAAATGAAAGATGGAGGTACGAGATTTGATCAATCTCCTTTCCCTAACCCACAAAATCCCAGCTGGCAAGTCATCTCTTTCACTGTGCCCCAATACTAAGTCTATTTCAATCATGAAAAGATAATTGTCCCACTCACTCACCGACCCACTCTTGTTCTCTCCCCCCCTTCACTTCTTGCAGGCACAGTTACAAAATGTCTAGGCAATTGCAAATATTCAAGCAATAAATTCCCCACTACGAAGCAAGTATTTTAAACCACCTAGACTTCATCATATGTATCATTATTTGCGGTAAATTCTTAAAGCATAGCTCTGGAAAATATAAAAAACAATTCTTAAAGCATAGCTCTGAAAAATACAGAAAATCACAATCTGAAAGCTTACAGAACAGGGACATATAGTAATACTAATCACCAACGTGATGCTTCCCCATAAAGAACACAGGATCCTACTTCCTTGTAACTGAGAGCTAAACAACAAATTTAATGACATACAAGTGGAACATGTGTAACCAACCCAACAACTTCCTTGAATGTTACTACAAGAATAGCTTTAACATCTATATTTTTCTGTTGGTAGAGGATAGAGCAGGATATTCTGAAAGCAACATACCGCTTGATTGGCAATGACACGAGCACAGGATGTTTTCCCAGTACCTGAAACCATAAAATGATGCTATTCAAACATACATATAATGTGAGTAATGAAAATTGATGGCTCTACACTGTTTCTGTCTAGTAACTTCTAATTAAATTGAGATTTCAACTTCAAACATAAGCAGTTCAAAGGTTACAGTTTCTTATTGAAACAGTGGCATAGTCTCCTAGTAATTTACCTAAGATACTGCGGACAAATAATAGCAGTTCAAACTCTTTGGAGATCATAAGTATATTTGATATGCCCAAAGCGCTCATAATAAATGAAATGATTGTTAATATATGAAATTATATGTAACAGTATCGTAGATTATTCTTCACGATCAGTTTTCTTATTTCCCATTATCTCTACGCATTGGTTGTCATATTTTCTAACAATTTATTTCACTAAATAGTTAAGATTGTCATAAGTATAAATCTAGGTATTAAAAACACACATTCCATTACATAAAAAGAATTTCATGCAAAAGCCATTTTTTCCTCGATCTCCTCCCCCTCTACATCTTAAATGCCATACTTCCCAACATGGTCTTAAAGTGATACCATCATATGACCTGTTTCATTACTACTCTGCTGCTAATTTACCTAAACTCAAACATTTTCATGATTTTTCCTTCAAATTAGTTGTTTCTCTTGATTGTATCTTCATTGGCATTTGGTCACCACTGATTTTATCCTCCTGACAGTCATCAGCGGAGTTCTTCATTTCAGCAACTCTTCTTCACTAGTTTCCTCCTCTGCACGATCTGTGTCAGACAGTTTCGGGTCCTGTGATTTACTCCAAGTTCCACCCTCTCAGCCATGCATTTTACCAAGTGTCAGGGAGTTTCTGGCTGCTGCTGCAGGCACACCCTACTGTTGTACCATCATTCCACATGGTTCAGACCTTTGCTTTCAGCCTTCCTGGCACCAGTCCTTCAGCTGGTCTCATGACAGTCCAGGGGAATCATCCTAGTACCGCCATTCTACATCTTAGAATCTTTTTGTTAATTGTTTTTCCAAGTTATGAACAGTTGGTAGTTGTTTAAACAGTTCGAACTTGGAGAAAATAGTTTTCCTTATGAGACAATAACTTTTCCTGACAGACGTTTTCCCTTTCAATTTATATTTCTTGTGAAAAAATTTGGTTTTTACAAAATAATGAAAAAAAAAAAAAAACAGAAAACTTATTCCAAACTAAGCATGCCCAAGATGAATCACTTCATTACATAGAAAACATCTAATTGAGCCTAAATGACACACCAGGTGGACCTTCAAATAGCACAGCTCGAGGTCTGTTTGACTCAAACTTATGGCGAGTCTCTCTAGCAATATCATCATATACTTCAGGACTATGCAAAGCCAATAGTATTGTATCTTCTATTACTCTACAAAATACAACAAAAAGTAAATTTATTTTCGTGCACAATGAGAAATGAAAGCTGAACACACATGTTATTATAAGTATGGAAATGCAATTAAAAAATAGTGTTACAATGCTCTAATGATATAGAGACCACATTAAATATATATGGATTATCAAATTGGTTGTATTGACAGAACACTAGAATCTAATCATGCGTTTCACTGAAATATAAACAAAATAAGAGAACATTAATTACATGTCTATTTTAGTTTTGCCGCTTGTATCTGACCTAAAAAAACCATAAAAATTGAAAATCTTTCTAAAGAACATTTGCGTTCACAAAAATATATATTGAACATTCGGCAAGTTTGAAAAAACAAGCCAAATTTCCACATTTACATACCGTTTTTGATGTTCATAACCAGCAATGCTGTCCCATGATATCTCACCATCTTTTGGTATAACTATAGGTTCATCAAGTCCATAAATTCTCACTCCCATACGCTCAAGATCAGAAATAGATTTATTAACAGATGGCACATTTTCAGTCTCTTCCTTTGGTTTTCTTTCCAGGGTGCTTCTTTGTCCCAACTTATCACCAGCTAATTGTAAAACAGAAATGAAAGCATCAAGCTCTTCAGGACACAATTCCCCTCTCTTAATGAATTCAATCTCCTGCGATATTGACATTTTTCCACTGAGAAATTAACATTTTTTTTTCAATACAAAAAAGCACGATAATGAGGAGATCATATTAAGAAAATGAAAAAAAAAAAATTAATACTTACAGCTTTATCTAAGCCAACGAGAGAACGAAATATGAGTATACATAGATCCCTATCATCTGCATTTATATCTTTTGAAGACATATCATTCGCTGGAATATGCTTTTGTTCTGATGGATGAGTAAGGGTAAGTTGCCAAGCAAATGTGCTGTGGACAGGTCACAATAAAAATTGAGGATTTTAACTATATTGAGTGCATCACTACAGTAAACTGTAAATGAGAAAATTCATGTCTATCAAATTCCATAAACATGCAAGCTAATATTCCCTAAATCACAGAAATATAGAATGAAGTACCTGTCCCAAGCTCGTAATAACATGTCTGAACCACCTCCATGGCCTTCAGATTTCATTCCAAGATGTGCAGTAAGATTTGCAATAAGTTGTGAAATATCACAACCATCAGGAATTTGAAACTTAATACTGACCTATAATTGTAACTCCACCATCAGATGTAGTTTTTATTTCCAATACAGTAACAGAACATCGCATCATCAAAGCTAGAGTATAGTGATTGTGAACACTTTATTTATGACCAAGAAAAAAAAAATAGTAGAATGCACCCAAACAAGAAAAAGAAAGGTTGAAATTGAAATATGTCACACAAAATAACACTTAATGATAAAAGCTGATATATAAAAAATGTAATCTCGGCGGAGTTCAAATTGCATTAGAAACGGGGCAGATTGGCAATGTGCCGGGCTTATGCTTACTAAACCAAAGACCGTTTTAAAGCTGAGCCTACTTTCTGCCTTAGTGGATAACTTAGGAAACATAAACCATAAAGAACAAACTTGTTTTATTTCCCATGTAATGTAATCACCTGAAATTAAGGCAAATGACGGAAAAACAGAGTGCACCAACCTTTTCACCCTTAACGGCGACAGAGAAGAAAGGATAAGAACCATATCGAATTCCTCTACTTCTAATCAACTGCTCAATTCGCTGGCGTTCCCTCTTGGCTATTTCTTGGACATCCACAACATCATTATCCGCATAAGCCACTTCCACCAATCCAGTTCCGAAAACACTAGCTAAGAAAACCGGAAGCAAGGAATAATCCACGCGCGAGACTCTGGAACTCGAAACATCGAACACTGTAGAAGAGGCAAACCGAGAAGACGCAAATTCTAGAGAAAAGGAAATACGAAGCATTCGCAACAGAAATTATATAAAACGCAGCGTTTATCAACCGCAGTGGAGCTGCGGAAATGGAAAGAAAGAGGAACTTACTGGGATGTGTAGAATGAGGTGAGGAGCGAGAAGTTAGGGTTTGAAAAGTGGAGTGCAAACGCCAACGCCACACTCGAGCTGACCTAGCCAAACGCTCCATTGTAGGGTGAAGAAACGAAAATGAATTTCACGCCAATGCGACACTACACTGCTGTTGAGTCTTTCGTGCTCTGCACGTCGTTCTTCAACTTTCCCGCTTTATAAGTAGAAAGAGAACAGACGATAATAGAAGACACAGACACGGCGTCTTCCGTATTACTAACGTAAATACAAAAAATGACATGATATATCAAACCTCAGGAATTAAAATAAAAATATTATAATACAGAGAACCCTATATTAAAAATTTATAACTTTGTAGAAAATAAAATAATAAGGCGAAAGATTAAAATAATTATTTTACAAACGATACTTAAAATAATTTCTTTCAAAACCCCAAGCTAACACTTATTATTATGTACTAGGTTTCTTTAATGGTCGAAATTTAGTTGGTTCAAAAATCGATAACAGTCCCGTAGTAGAAAACAACAAGATTTGAGAAGAGGCCCGAAGTTACCGAATCCCTGCTGGACCCAGTTAGCTAGGTCCATGAAAATAATACGAATTCTACAATTTTATTTGTGCCCTTCTTTCTTCTAACAATATATTGTTTCTAGAAATAAACTTTTTTTTTCCTTCCTTCTACTCTCCTCCAGTTTAAATTTGAACATTTTCTCTCCCTCTTACTTTAGTTTAACTAAATCAAACATTGCATATGGTTTATACTTTGGGCCACATGTACCTGAAATTGTTACTTTTTGTCACTTGGAGTTGGTTCAATCATTACTCCCCACTCATGCAGCTTCCCTGTTTATATGGGCATCATCTACTCGCAAACCCAAGCAGCAGAGAAGAGATTTGAATCTTTGAATTTGAATGAGGGCATGACCTTGTCGTGACTAAATCATGCTACATTTATACGTGTTTGAAACCCCTACTTGTGTAATTAATACGCATTGCCATTCACTAAGATATGAGTTTCTTTAGGCAAACAGAAATTTGTGATCCATTTTTCAAAACGTTGGGAAAAGGAAAGCCGTATATAGTTTTCGTCAAAAAGCTACTTTCGGCACTATACCTCATTTTTCCTTTATAATCTCGATATTTCAAAGCTATTTAGTGATCACAACATTATTTATCTGAAATGAAACTTTTTATTATTATTATTATTGTAGAAGAAATTTTAGTATAGCTTTGAACGACATTTTTTACGGTGACACCTTTTTCTTTTTCCTTTACAAACTGTTTCCATAGTTACCACCACAACTTTAAACTTTTCCCCTCTGCATTCGGAATGTCAATAATTAACACACAAAGACTTTGACTCCATTATCATAAAACCATTTAATCTCCAACCACGAGTCTTTTACAAACTCAACTTCTTAAGTTATATTTTTAAGAATGAACACATTTAGTTTATCAAAAAGATTAACATAAGTAAAGATACAGTGTTAGTAGTCGAATGACATAAAAATAAATAAAAGGGACAACTAAAAAAAATGAAGAAACTAGCAAATCATGGTTTTGACCTTGAAAAATCCACCAATATTATAATATATACATATATTATTTTTATCCATCTAAGAGAGAAAAAATGTTCAACCTAAAAAAAAAGTTTAGGAAACATATCTACCTCAAAGCGTCATATATGTTAGTTACAAAGAAAATCCTACCCCACCCAACCAATCCATGTGGATTCTCTATGCTCACTTTAGAACAGGCATGGTGATTTTTTGTTTTCAGCCACAGTAATTATTTTTGAATGGAGAAGCTTTTCCATAAAATGAACCCACTTTTGTTTTCATTGTTCAGGGACTGTTCTAGCAACGATGTCAAACTCAAAAGCACCAAAACGCCTAACAATCCAACTTATGCCACACCATGCATGACAGCAAAGATGCAGAGGTAGTTGCTGACACAACTGTAAAGAGCATTCATTTCATTTCCTTCAACAATCAATAACATGCCCTGTAGTTAAAGCTCTATTATCTCTCAACACAACCACATTAAAAAATCTTTCTTAACAAATTCTTATTTTCCCTTTCATTCAATATGTCTTTCACTCATATCCTCATTTCATACAGAAAATATCCAAATTTCAGATTTAAAAAATGAAGATTATTTAAAATAACTTTAGCTTAGTTGGACTATAGATCCATGTTCTGATACCAAATAAACTAAGTTAACCTGTATTTGTTTGAACAAACATGAATAAAAAATTAAAATTCGAATTTTAAAAAATTGAACAAGCAAAATACAAAATCCACATCGGTATTTAAAAATGAACTTTAACGACGGAGGCATTTTAACCACCTCGGATAAAATTCGTTATAAATTGTTGTTCCGTGTTTTCTGTTCTGGCGACGTGAAAAATAACATAAAAAAGGCAATGAGAAAACGAAGAACAGCAAAAAGGTACGCAAGGAGAGTCCAAACTGAACTTAAATAATAATATTATATAATAGTAAATACATTCTGATAAAGCATTTCAGATTTCACGAGGAAGAGCACAAAGGAAAAGATACCATTTACGAGCTACTATGACATGAACGAATCTAGTTTCCACTCCTAACCTCTGTAAGTCAGAAAGAGATACCTTTTTGGTTAATACAAAGTCACAAAATGAAAAGAGAAACTATAGCTTTCCGTATACGAAAATCTAAATAAACCCCAAAAAAAAAAATATTACAGTAATTATACAAAGTATGGCGCAGTTAAAAAGGAACACTAGTGAGAAGTTACTACGCATTTTTTGGTGAAGAGGTTGCGCAGGTTAAAAATATTACCCCCACCTCCTCCATCATTGCCTCCATTACTATTATGAGTATTATTGTTATTATTATTATTATTACTGTTACCATTGGTGCCGCCGCCGCCGCTAACACCGACGGCGCTGTTCTCGTCGCTTCTGCAGCTCAGGTTGGGTCTGTAGCCAATGCACATAGGGACGTTCAGATTCAAAACCCTCGCAGTTCCTCCGCCGCCGGCAACTTTGCTCCGGCGAGATTTGGGAGGGTCGGGGTTTTTGCGGCGAACCTGCCAGACCGGGCTGCTCCGGCCTACGTGGACGCCGGCCCGGCCCGGACTGCTGGGCCATTTTCTGGACTTGGACTCGCCGGCGGAGTTGCTCCGGGAGCACGGCGCGCTGTTTACCTTCCGGGTCACCGGTGTTCCGGCGAATAACTTGGGTCGGGTACCCGCATTTCCCGCGGACCTGCTCCGGGAGAAGGGCCATATGTTGATGTTCAATTCCGCGGAAGTCGTTGCAGTACCACTTTTTCTCTCTCTCTTCTTCCCCTTCTCTTTCTCTTCGTTGTTTTCTGAGTTTTTCTTATCGCTCTTTCTGAAAATGTCTCTCCACCGTTTCGATGTGGAGGAGGAGGAGGAGGAGGAGGTGGGTTCGGTTAAAATGGAAGGGGAAGGTTCTGGGTCAGGCGGTGAAGCGAGTTCCGGGTCGTGTTCGTGGATCGGAGGTGTAAAGGTGGAGGCTTTGGGAGAGGGTTGTGGTTTGTTTGGGAGGAGGTGGAGGGGGAGGAGGACGCCGTCAACGAAAAGTTCATCGGCGGAGAGAAGGTTAGGTTGAGGGAAAGAAGGGTTTCGGAGCATCCAGAACTCGAATTCGGGTGAATTGCAGTTGGTTCTGTTGGGAGAGAGGAGTGTGTGGGGTTTGTCCATGATTGTGTGCTGAGAAAGTTGTGTGTGTTGAATTTATGGCGTTTTGTAGCGGTGGGTGAAGGTTCTTGTGTTGTGATATTAGATGAGAGGGTGGAGAGAGAATGAGGCATTAAAGAAAGAAAGAGGAATGAAGAAGAGAGGAGAAAGGGATGGCATAGATTTTAAGGGAGGGTGTTGGGGTCCATTGAGGTGGAAGGAGCATGTGCCATACAATTTGGTGTTTGGGAAAACACAGGATAATTGGGGTGTGTGTGCTTAATAATCACCTTCTTATGCAGCTTTATATCTGCCTTTCTTCGCCAATCACCAACGAAAACTAAAGATAATGGTGGATATATATGTGTGGGGCGCACATGCTTTCCCCTCTAATGCGCTTTATCTCCTTCTTAACCTTCCATTTTAATTACCATTACCAATATACACTTACTTATATTTCATTCACCAATTTTTTACCCATTTACAATGTTTGGTTGCCCATACTATATCTTTCTTAAATATAAAGATTTAGTTATATTATACCAATAAATTGTCATTATCTTATAAAATTAGTTTCTTTCATGCATTCTACTATAAAGTTTCCAATTTTTACACATTATTTAATTTAAATTTGTGCTTGTTTATTTTTACATTTTTTAGTTTCTACACTGTTACACGTTTCGTTTTAGTTTTCAAATGTGTAGTTCATTGTTATTTAAGCAATCAGAATTAATAAAATTCAATTTATTTTATAGAAATATAATTTGTTGCTATTTTAACCTTGGGTGTCGTTAAAAAATTATTTAGATTAATGTTTGTTTGTGTTGTGTTTACATGACACTTGTCTCTAAATTTAACGGATTAGTATTTTAGTTTTTAAATTTAACAATTATGTGTTATTTTAGTCCTTAAAAATACTTTTAAACTTTTTCATTAAGTTCCATTAAAATTATAATAATTTGTTAAATAGTAAAATATGAGTAAATGATTAAATTTTAAAGGCTAATACGATCATAAATATGATTAGGTTCGAAAACTAATGGAAAGTAACTAAGTTTATAGTCTTAATTGGAAGTTAGTATGTCATGCATAAACAATCATGAACTTTATAATTTTAATACTTTTGTAGGACTGTTTAGTCCACTTTCTTATTCACCGAAATCATATTTAATCACTACTTCAGTGTCGATAACGTCGTGTATTTAATCACTTTGTTTATTTGAAGTCATTTAATATCAATAAACCACCTCTTAAGCCTTTGTAAATAAATTTAAGTTCTTAATTAAGAAACATTTATTTAAGAAAATGATATAATTGTATTAATCCTTTGGTATCAGTGGCAATAATAATTTACTGAGAATATGTTTCGACCTATAAGAATTTAAAAACTAAAAATGAAATAATATTTGTATAATAAATTCATTTTTTAATGATAAATTTTATATGGAGAAACATGACAAAATAGTGAATGTATTATGTTATTTCTCCCGCACCTCTCTTAATGGAAAACCTTAATTTTGTGGTGTGATCGAAGAAGGTTGACGCATATCATTGCGTAGGATAGTAAGAGTTTTTTCAACACTGACTCGTTCGTACCAACCACTCGAAAATAAATAACAAATGATTAAATGTTATTGAATTACAATCTCTACAACACCAAGGTATGGCTTTCTTGCCTTCCAAAATCTTTTTTTCGTTTTATATTATCTCATCTAAATAAAGCATAAAGGAGAATTGTATAAATAATTTAAATTTAAACTCTTAAAAAATATGAATGATATATACACACATGTTTATATGTTATTAAAGTCAAATATAAAATATAATTTAACAATAAATATAGAATACTGTTTGGAGCCGACATCCAAAATTCAAATATATCTAACATATAGTGACAGGAATATGAATATTAATTTTCTTTGTAGGAGGAAAATTGATATTTTGCAATTGTAATGAATGGATTATTGATATGGGAAGAGTGGAACCACACAAAGACTCGATGTATAAACATGTCATATCATCACATCATGAATAATCCATATCATGGTACAATGAGAAATTGGAAATGAGGCTCCCCAATTTGTGAGTGTTGACTTTCACCTCTATTATTACACATGATTCTCTGCTAAAAGCTTCGTTTCCATTTTCTATCTTAATCACATGCAATCAACCTTTTTCAGCTTCATACTCCCTCCTCTCATTACCTCTTTTTATACATGTCTTTATCACAATTTCATCATTAACTACTTCCTAATTAAATTATCCTTACCCTACCACAAACCTTTTCCACACGTAATTGGAAATTTCTACCTTCGACACCTATTATTCCGATATCATTACATTTTTTACATTCAAGTGTTTTTTAATTTCGGTTTGGTTCAATGTTATTGCGATGTATGTTTATCAATATTTCTTTTAAAACAACATCACATAGTCAGAATTTTGTCAATGAATTATTAATGCACTTCACTCGTTTAAAACATAATTTCGTTTATACGTGAGACTGTGTATTACAAGATATGGGTTTGAACACTGAGTTGAGAGAGTTGATGAATATACGAGGTACAAGAGGATAAATGGCTAAGTTAGTAAGTAAAATGATTCAGAAAGAGAAACATCTTAGTATTTATAGAGATAAAATCGTATCGCAAATTGAGATACATAACCATCTAGCTCAAGTAAATTAAAATTTTCACGTGAAAATTAGAGGATTGTCATACGATAATAAAACTTTTGTGACATAACGTCAAAATGTGGTTAACTGTCTTTTTCTAGCATAATCATTAGAAAGATGAGATAGGTTCAGGTGTCGTTTTCACTTTTATATATTCATATACTCTTTTTTTCTTTTCTTAAACAAGATGAATAATAAATTTCTTGGTTTATTAAGTGTTCAATTAATATTTTTATTTGAATATTAATAAAACAAGTTAATTCGTTTAATCAACTTTATGGTTTATAGGCTTGAGATTTTAATCTCACATGTAATAATAAAAATGTCAAGTCCATAATAAAAAACGTTAAACTACGACTTTGTTAAGTCTATAGATAAAAAAAAAATCAATAAATTACGAAACCGCATGATTTTTATATAAAAACTATATTGAATATTGACAAAAGTTTCATACAGTAAGTCAAGCTACATGATATACTTTTTCCAATAACGTAAACTTAACTACGAAGATTTATATTTTTTTTAAACTATAAATGTGTATGAGTACTTGCTTACTCTGAAAGTCAAAGGGAAGAACTAGACTAGAAAACAAAATTACCATTAGGTAGAAATGGGTGTAAAAATGGTAGGAGGAGCCCAAAGATGAACGGGCCGACGGAGTGGGGCCCAACGAGGAAGGCACGGAAGGTTTGAAAGAAAGGAAGAGAGTTGAGTAGCGGTTGTTAATGGCGTTTGTTTGGAAGGAAAACGATTGAGGGATGTGGGGGCAAAATCAAACATTATATCATAAATGAACGGGTCCCACTTCGTTTCTTTCTTCTTTTTGATGATCAGCATTTTAAATGTCTTGTACCTGACAACTAAAAATTCACGTTGCTTTCTTATGTTTTTAAAACCTAGCCACATGTCCAAACCATACTCCACCATTCTCTTCCCCCAATACATAGCGATGGCAAAACTCGCTGGCATGCTATATAATACGGAGGAGTGACTTAGTGTTTTCAGTTATTCCGTTTGCTAACCTGTTGGATTAGTATGTGATTAGCATAATTAATAAAAAATCATTTTTTTAAAATATAATTAATATAAAATTAAAAATTATATAAAAAAATTAAAATTAATTTTTTACTTTTATTCATCCTTATTAAAAATATTTTTTTTATTTAAATACAAACTTTTTTTAATGGTTAATATTTTTTTCTATCTTATACATTACTTATTTTTATTTTTATGACTTAAACTAAATTAAATTAAATATATAAGAATTATTTAAAAATAAATAATAATATAGAGTTTTATCAAATAAAAATATATATGTATTTAAATTTTTAATATAAAACATAATTTTTATAAATTTTCACATTATTTATATATTTTTTTTATTATATAAATTTTATTATTATTTTAAATTATAATCTCTTAAAATAATAAGTTAATTTATATTATTAATTTTATGTTAAATTATTATCAAAATAAATAATAATTTTATTATTAAATTTATTGATAATTTTGATTTAAAAAAATAATTTTTTTTAAATTACAATAAATCAGTCTATGAATCTATTTTTTGACTAGATGAACTAAGATATATAATCCATAATGATTATAGCGAGGCAACCGCGATCACTTATTTTTTGGATAAAAACGTGACTAACTTACCTATTTTATCATTTTTACCCATACATCAATTATTCAACTAACAAATTTATTTATTTTATATTTTAGTTTTTAAATTTATTTTAATAAATTATGTTTAAGCATAAGTTACAAAAATATTATTTATAACTCTAATTTAAAACATTCTTTTAAGAAAAAAACACATAAACAATTATAAAGAATCATGCTACAAATTAAATTTTTTATAACTATAAAGACTATTAAGATGGACAGAAATACAAATATCATTACTATAAATTTAAAATAAATAATATTCTTTTTAAAATAATATTTTATTTTATTTTTTAGTTTTTAAAAAGTAAAAACCTTATTCGATAATTATTTTGTTAAAATCATTTTAAAATTTCTTTTTTTACTTAAAAAAAAAACTGATGAGATATATTTTTAATTTTTAATACAAATATTGCACCTCCACAATTAATTTTGTCACCGTTATTTGAAAATTTTACTACACGATTGTTTTTCATCATCAATGTCAATTTTACCTATTTAAAACAAGTTTAAAATAATATATAAATCAGAAATATCAAATAAGTGTTTTTTCAAAATTATTATAATAGATGATTATTTTATAATTGTTTTTAAAATTTGAAAACAAAACTAAATCAAATCTATTTTTTTAGTTTTTAAAACTAACAAAACAAAATTTGGTAAACATCAATTATCAAACCATTTTTTTAGTTTAAAAAAAATTAAAATTGTTTTAAAAATAGTAAAAAATCAAGTTTTACTTTCTTGATTTTTTTTAATCTTATTTCTTAAAGTATAAATTAATTTAACTAAGCTAATCAGAATTATAATTAAAAAATATAGTAAAGCAAAAAATGGTAGCATTTTAATATTAGCCAATATTTTATAAATATAAATTTGATTCATAATGTAATAAAATGGGGGATGATTGTGGGATTCATTGTCGATTTGAAGTGATTTGTCAGTTTCTCCGTGGCCTGTTAAATTTTGAATGAGTATTGATTTGATATCCAAACACTAGGCTGTTTGATTTAATTTTGTAAGATATTTTTACTTATTTTTAAATATATTACGTCATTAGCACGACAAGGCTATATATCATACCGTTAATGTCATATAATCTCATTGTCTTGGAAAGTGTCATTAAATTAAATAAAAATTAAAAAAAACGAAAATTGAGTGATAAGTAATCATAAATTGAATTAGCATTATTTAAAAGTTAATCCGTTGTTGGCCCGTAAAAAATAGAACAAGATGGGTTATCCGTTATAATTACGATGAATTCACCCATCATATTTTTTATTTTATTATTTTTAAATTAAATCTTTTAATAAATTTAATAATAAAATTATTATTATCAATTATTTAATATATATATATTAAGTTGATAATATAAATTAATATATTATTTTAATTAATTATATTTTAGAATAATTAAATTAAAATAAAATATATATAATAATAAATACATTATGTAATAGTAAAAATTTATTAATTCTTTATTTTTTATATTGAAAAGTTTAAACATTTAAATGAAAATTATATTATATTTGTTTATTTGATAAAATTTCATATTGATAAAATCTCAATTCAAAACAATTAATGTCTAGATCATTAGATGATTTCTTAGATTTTTTATCTTTGTCATTTTTTGTTCTATATAGTGAATTTAAATAATTATAAAACTTTTTAAATGTTTTTAGTAGCAATATATTGAGACTTACGAATTCTCTTTATGATATACTAAGATTTTTAGAAATTTTTTTCATAAATCTTTATATTATATATTGTCGACTATTTGTATTGTATATAAAAAAATTATTAGTAAATCAAACCGTGAATTGACCCAACAGTAAATGTTAGGTCAGACTTGTGACAGCGAGTTGAAAATACTAATCCGTCCTACCATATTATGAGGGACTCGACCCATTGACCTGACTTATTTTTTGATCTTATTTTAAAGAAGTTTTATAATTTATATATATATATATATATATATATATATAATTTCTTAAAATTTGTTTATGAACTAATTTTAATTTACGAATTAAAAGAACTTGTGAAGAAGTAAGAATCTTTAAAATAATAATTTATTTATTTATATTGACAAAATATGCCAAAAATAACATCATAAAAGAACAGAAATTACAATTAGAAATGATATATCAGAAAATTTTCCTCGTACAGTTCATGTGTGTATCCAGAAGGAGAAAACAAATTTAAAAGGTTTTAGTATTTTTGAGTCGCTATGTTAATTATTAGAGAAAAATATTCAATAATTTGATGAGTAATTTTTGTTTGAAAACCTAATAATATCTTTTAATAGGTTTTTTTTTAGCACGTTTTTTTTTCTTATTCACGTTAACTGAATAAAATAATTTTATTTAATGGGATAGAATTTCAATTTTATTGAGACCAATAGCATGTTTGTAAATTATAGGCGCTAGTTTAACGAAAATTTCTGTAGAAACATTACGTAATGAGTTTTTTCTTTATTGTTTATTTAAAAATGACAGATTTAAATTTCAAAGAAAAAGAGTGTTAATTTCTAATACAAAATCCATGCCTAATAATATAAATCAGACTCAATAAGATAGAAAATAATATCCTTTACATAATTAATATTATCGGTTTCATATTACATTTCGGTGAGTTTATGGAGTTGGCCAGTTTTTTATTCAATAAACTCTTATTCACACCGAATATATCGTTTTTATATATTTATTCTTTTTCTTGTTTTCGTAAACAACAAACATAGTATGTTTAATTTTGATCCCATGTTTTGGGAAGTCCAAATTTATAAAAGCAAGATAATATCCTAAACATTGTGCTTACAACTACTTATCTCGCTAACCAATATAAATTACTCGTTAACTTCTGCAACTTCATCTTTTTAATGAAGGAATAATCAATACAAATAAATGAGTATTTTGAGAAATTGAAAAAAAAAAACGTGTGAAAAAAGTTAGGTTAAAAATGATCAATTATATCCTTTAAATATTCATAATTAATTTCTTTAAAAAAATATAAAAATAAAACACAAGTTCTATTTTAAGAGAAAAGTCATTAAAAGAAATGGGACAAATTAAGAAGATAAATGTAAAAGGAATAATAATAACTTTAAAGTACATAAGTACGCGTGTGTTTAACTTATAAAGGTAGAGAATGTTGAAACTTATATGAAGATTTAATTTTATTTCGAAGAGAAGCAACGTAGAAACTAAACGTTAAGTGGTAGTGTTTCCCTTTTCATTTTGGGTGGAAACATTACAGAGAATCGTATTAGTGTTGATTACACCTACTCCAGACATGAGAAAAGACAAAAGGTGTTGGAATTTAGTTTCTGATGCAGAGTAAAGAGATCTTTCTGATTTCATTTTCATAAAGTATTGAAACTAAACAATTTAATGTGAGAAGAAAAATAAAATTGAATTGTCAATTCGAGGCAGCGTGTCAGTACTTAAGTACTTTAATCTTAATTTAATTAAATTAGATAGATTTTATGTGCAATTGTGTAGAACTCAGGTTCTAATCTCTTTCCTTTTGTCTCCCTCCCTCCACTCAGTTAGGTACACATAGGGGAAATAGAGAACAACACAAGGCAACTTTCAAACATGAATCATCTTGCAAGTGATTAGGATAATATATATTTATTATGGCTTAATGACCAAACTAGGTTAATTAATCTTGTGTCTTAACTTTTGGTTATCTAGTTGTTGAACCGGATATTGTTTCAGCGTGTTTCTAAGATGTTTCGGCAATGCAAAACCCCTTTTTTCTTTTAGAATTATTATTAAAATGATTGAAAAATAGTGTGACCCACACAAATATCATAACATAATATAATAAATAACTATAATTCTCATTTCATCAAAATCATGATGTGAAATTGAAATAAATATATTGTGATTTTTAATATGATATCATTATTTATATCTATTTTTCTTTTAATTGTTATTTTTAATTAAAAGTTGTATTTTCGTTAAGAATAAAAATATTTTTGTTAGATTTGACGAACTTTGTTAAGAGAAAAATATTAACGATTTTTTACTGATAAAATAATATATTATTAATAAATAAATATAAAAATTAAAATAATATAAAAATAAAATAAAATTATACCTATGCAAACATATATATTTAATAATAATTAAATTTATATATTAGATTAGTTTACACGTTATAAAATAATTTTATATTAAAATCATATAAAAAAATTATAATCAATTTTCACCATTTTTGAAATAAAAATAAAATAAAATTGTAGAGTTACTTAAGAGTTAAGCGGAAGGAAAGAGAGAAAACAATATTTTGGGAAAGATAATAGAAGGAATGATGGATCTTACCAACATTCAACAAAAGTTGCTTAAAAAATAAAAAAAGATAATTTTTTTTTCAAATAATGACAACATGAATTATAATTGGTATGTTATTAATTTCTTGTTATATATTGCAATGAAAAATTATTTGAGTTTGGTTATAATAGATGTTGAGTTTGATTTGAGACGTAACACCATAAATAAGAAAATTTGTGATTATCATCAAATGTCAAAACCTATATAATGGATAAAAATTCATTTGGAAAATATTGATGAATATAGATTTATTAGTAAATATTACACTATTTTGTTTAAACTTAAAATAAGTGTTTACAATTTTTTAAAATTACTTATTTAAGAAAAAAATATAATTTACTCATTAAAAAAACTGTAAATTTTTTATTTTTAAAATAGTAAATTGGTCAAATACACACACACACAAAAAAAAGAATAAATCTGATTATTTATTATTATTATTTTATAAAACGACATTTTTTTTTCAATTTATCAAGAATTAAATTGTCGAAAACTAACCCTTAATGATTTGAGAATAAAATGATGGTGAATTTGATTTTTTTGGGACAATTGACCTAGGACTTAGTCCTTAAAAACGTCCACATGTATTAATTAAAGACTTACCCGTCAACCATTCTATTTCCACGTAACCAAAGACTTCAATATTCTATATAGTAGTCATATTTTTTTTATTAAATTAGTTGAATGCTAAATATACTAATGGCATCGGCGTCTTAATATATCAATGTTTAGATAGTAAACATAAATAAATCCAAACCATCAGTAATTATTTTAAATGAATCAAAATTATAATGTTAAACTACATAACAAAATTAATCATTGGTTTTAATATGAATTAATAGTAAAAGGAATTAAAAATAATTAAAGATAAAGGCTTAATTTAGATAAGATAAAACAGGAATAAAAGAAGTGCATCAATTCCCTCTTTTCTCAAAACTTATGCACATTAAAAAGAATACGAAATTTCAAGAACTATTTGAAATTATAAAATTAAAAAATAGGTAAACAACAAAAGCTTAAAATGGTTGAAAATAAAACGGAGTGGTGGAGTCCATTGTCATGAAATAACAAAACATTAGTCAATTAATTTTTATTTTATTTTTCCTTTTTGAATGTATGCGTAGAGCACATTGCCTCAGGTTGATTGTAGGATAAGTATATTGTTTTGTTTCCCCCAATTTTTTGTGAGACAAAGAGAAAGAGTGAGGGAATGTCAAGTCTTCACCCTCAATAATTTATCAAAAGCAATTTCTTGACCAAAGACCAAGTTATTGGCTATTTCATCACATTTCTTGACCAAATCACCATTAATTTAAGCAATGGAGTTAGTTTACGTGATAGATTTTGGCCCTTTGTTAATACCATTGGATTTGATTTAGGTTGTTTTGTTACCTTTGGGATTTCATCAAAACATCCATAACGGGAATAACATGTAGAAAGTATAAACCAATAATTTAAAATGTCAAATGATTTGAGTCTGCCACAATACCAAGATACATACATAATCAGTCCACAACAAAATGCATGCAATACATACAAGTCAAGAACCACCAAATTCAAAAACAAAAGCACAGTGAACTTGCATGAATCTATCCTTTCTGATTTACTTTGAAATTTGGTTGTATGCACAATCTTGCAAAACTTCAGTCATGATAGGAACATCAGAAGTTTTCAAAGAGGAGGTAGAGATGGATTATACATCAAAGTTGTGAGGTGATATGTTCCATAACATGGTAAGTGGAACAGTCCAAAAAGCACAAATAAAAATAAGCATGGCATGTGAAAGAACAAGCTTTGCACATAGAAGCACCCTTCAAGACCAAAAGATAAACCATGGCATGCTGTGTCTTGGAGAGAAAAAAACTGTCCTTTTCAGTTTCACACATTCAAACCAAGAGTTACTCAGTCAATGGCACAACACATCACTGATCAAGATACCATTTCAGTGCAAAAGATAACAACCGAAGCAGAGAGCATCAAGAAGAATTGAATGCTTGTGCTTATCTTATTACCTTCCAAATCACTTCAATTAGTGATCACACAGGACACGTAGTCACACACCATATACCCCCCAAGAAGCTTACTGTCATGGACCCAAAATCCAACCCCATGTTGGTGAGACATAAAATAAGTCATGTGCACGGTTCAACAAGTCCACTACACATTTATGAGTCAAAAAACCTTTCAACTTGTTTAACTTAATACATGCTTACCAAGTAGTGGTGCTGAATCAGCATTCTCCGTGGCTGTATCTGCATGGATGAATGTGTGTGATTAAGAGAAAGCGAGAGATGTTTTTTCATGTGCATTTAAATATTTTACTACCAACCAAAATCATAAAGTGTCAATTGATTTGTCACAGACACAGCCAGCAACAAAAAAACCCTTCCTCATGACCCAACTCCAAGCCCACCACGTTTGATCGTCAACGTCTTACTAGCTGTATGTGTTTGTGTAGTCACCCCAAAAAGTATAAACCAATCTTTCATAATGCAATTATAATTCCTTGAATCTTTTGATTCGCACCTTCATTTCTTTCACGTAACCTTTGATACCATGCCACTTGTATGTAGAGTATTTGAGTTTTGCATTTTGGTTCAGATCTTTGTGGCTTCCCAAGAACCGTGCATTATATAAAAAATCAGAAGATATGAGCATGAGTTATTCAAAATATTTTTGTCTCACGAGTGTAAGTATGTTTGCATATCAAATGGTTAATTTTAGTTTAACTAGTCTAAAATTTGAGTCTTACTTTAAACTACACTTATTTCTCTTCTAGTTTTATAATTCCTTTTATATTTTTAATAAAATGATATTCATATTTCTTCGGAATTCAAATAGATATCTACTTTCTTTTTATACTACATATTTATATTTTTAATAAATAATACTATTTTTTATTTTATTTAAAAATATTATGTTAAGTAATTAATACTTGGTTATAAATTAAGAAATGAAGTTTTAAATATAAAATTAAAGATTGTTTTTACAACTAATGAAATTTTTTAATATACTCTTTCGTGTTGATTGAACAATTCAACAAGATTAAATATTTATAAGTAAAATCATAACAACCCGCGATAGATATAATAAATATTTTATATCATGTTAAAAAGTAGATTTAAGTTTAATTCATTTCAACAAAATTTACTTATACGATGAGTTTTATATCTATTTATATATTCTAATATATAATTTAAGTATATTCTAATCTATTTAATATCTACTTTATTATTGCAAAAATAATAAATAAGTTATACTTTTAAAGATAAACAAATGGAAAATAATGAAAAAAAAACTAATAAGTAGCATACAAATTTAATTACTTACCATAATTTTATCTATGATAATGTAAAAAATGTAAGTTTATTTACTAACTTTAAAATTATTATTTAACATTATTTCTTTTGAAAATTGTTTTCAATTTGATATTTGAAGTTGAGAAATTATTATTTTTGTCTTTCTATATCCTATAAGAGTTTTATTTTATATGGACAGAGAAAAATAGTAAATTGATGAAATGGTATAACATTTTTACAAAGTTAATTTTATTCTAATATTTTTGATATATAAAAATTTGCTGTTCAAGATTAATATAAAAAATATTATTACGAATATAAATGAATTTTTTAATGTTATATTATAGTTAAACTAATATTTATAAAAACTTCATTAATTTTTCATTTTTATTTTTATTAATCATTAAATCAATTAATAGTAACACTTGTATTTGATAGAGTTATGTAAGAAAAATTTAGAAACGAAAGATGAGTATTAAATTAAAAATACATGCATTGATAGTATTTTTTTTTCTACATTATCTTCTAATTTGAAGTCACTACATGATAATTTGTCTACATTATCTTCTAATTAGAAGTCACTACATGATAATTTTGTAAACAAACGACAATAGTTTTCTAACTCACATTATGAAATGTTTTAGATCCACCATACATATTCATTAAACTCATCAGTACTTTATAAAATATATCTCCCATCTTTCATATTATTTATTGGCATTTTATTTCATTTGTACTTCTATCTTCTTCTTTTTTTCTTTTTTTTTTCCTTTACAAATAAAAGTTAGGGATATAATAAAAAAATGTGCACATAATAATTATACTATATATTGTTTGGGCATATTTATCATATTAAATTTTCCAAAATACACTTGAAACTCATGTCATACTCTTACATTTAGAAAATAATTGACCCAATATGTCATGCCGTGTAAATTTTAGTCATGCAGTGTTATTTTGACGTTGACATGAAATTAAAATGTAAAGAAATGAGTTAACTTCTTCATAAATTTTGAGATATAATTTAACTTGATAATTAATTAAATTGAAATATAAAATGTAAAATGTTGTGGAAATCATTTTAAATAAGCACTCGTTCAATATGTCATAGATTTCATCCAATGGGTTAAGATTTATTTTGTTGCTTATATATTATAATAATAATAATAATATTACTATTATTATTATTAATTATATTGCAAAATTAGAATGGTGTCGTGAAAATAAACACTGCAACGTGAAAATTTACCAATCAATTGCTCGTCAACCAACTCGAACCATTATTACCAGTAAATTTCAAAATTAAACTCAAAACACTAACTAGTCTCTCCTAAATACACTGTTATAAGATCCAAAAAAAAACAATTTGAATTGCCAACGTCAAAACAATCCTCTTAACTATGTCTAAGCTTGTGCTTCAAGCTCCAGGAGTAGAGTGTGATTGATTGCTTCAGATCCTGGGCCAGAAAATTGGATTGGACCTACAAGGAAAATCATCATCATTAGCATCAAACTAGTCATATTGCAGAGAGAAACAGGACTCCAGTGAAAGCATCAAACTTATACATACCTGGACTGACGTAGCAATTTTTCAAGGCCCATTCATCTCGCAACGAGGCAAACTTTTTGAAGGGTGCCCCTGAATAATCCAACAAGAAATGTATATTCAGTATACAAAGATAATTGGAGTTGATGTTATAAGCTTAAGGCTTCAATCGTTATAGTATTCAATATTACAAAATCTGTAGTTCAAATAATTAACAGTTCAAAAGTTAATCTTTTGGACCACGTTTGAACATATGAGACAAAATATTTTACCTTCCCTCTCATTTAATTCTTTCGGCTCAACATGGGTAAAAAATATAGTTCGCTTACGTTTGTGGACTATCGAGCCCAAAAGTTTTCATGAATATAAACATACCTTCAAGCTCCACCATTGCCTTCTTGATCACAGGCTTGAATTTACCTGCAAAGAAAATTACACATTCGTAAACAGTAGAACAGTGGGCAAAGCATTCACATAAATGCAACTTATACATACGTTTTGTGATTTATATAACCAGAGGTTGTCAAAACAAATAATGGTAATATGAGTAAAAAAATATACAGGGAAAAATACTTCTAACTTAAAAACCGTTTGACTCAAGAAAAAGTACACCGAATTATGAATAAATATAGAAATAATCTGATCAGGCCACATTTGAGTAAAATCATAAGGTCTACCCTAACAAAGTGTTCACTCTTTCAAAACATGGGGAATAACAACTGCAACGTCTGTAACACAACTTGTATATTTCTATAATCCTAAATTAATATAAAAATAACTGTCTAATAACTAAATAAATAACTATAACTGCTTAAGTCAGATTTTGGCCTATCAAATCACAGCAGCAGAATAACAGAATATTATATGAAAACTAAGTTAGTACTGGGGTAAAGAACAAGGACAGATAGATCAAAATGTGTACCATGTCTCCTCTCCACATCCATTAGTGAAGTGAGTGCAGTTCCACCAACAGTCCATTCTTCTACTGGAGCACATAAATTCCCAACCTGATCAAAATGTCGTAGCAAGTAAAAGAACTAAGTAGGTGACTTTCAATATTACAAAACAAGCACAATTTCAAAATACAGTCAGTTATCAACACCGTTTACTCTTAAGTAGATATCTTTAAGTAGATATCAAAAGATTAAGGCATGTAAAGAAGCACAAACTGATGATATAAGTCCAGTCTTCCCACTATGAAGGAGAGCTCCAGCACCATAACCCAGAGCATAGCAATAAGTAGCATCAAAATTAGTAGGCAAGCCACATCTCCCTTCGTAACTGCATATTTCAAATTTGAGCCCGTAACTACAAACTCTTACATATATTTTCATTTAAAAGATCAAGCACAACATTCATATGACGAAAATAAATTTTAATCGAACTACAGGGGAGTAAAAATCATGTCCCTGGAAATTTTCTACTTTACAGCAATATGTATTATAGTTCACTACTCAAAATAAAAATTTACACAAACTAGATAAAATACCCGAAAAAGTGGGACTGTCCTCTAAATTCGCCTTTGTATTTTCCTTCTACCCTTCTTTTCTCCAACTCAGTTTCAACCATTTCAATAAGCATTTTCTCTGTTTCTATCTTGGCTACCTATATGGGAATATAAGCAAGGATAACATTGATCCTGATGCAAATTGCATAGAGGAGACAAATACAGAAAGGAAGATTGCACCATAACATTAGGCACCTGAACATTTCCATGTGGATCTCTCTCAAGCATCAATTGTTCTTGAATTGCTTGAGGTAAGAATTCAAAAAGTTTCAATGATTGATCACTTAGTTTCTTCTTCCATAATCCACCATCATCCACAATATCATGGGCAAGAATTTCATTTAGTTCTGCTATAAGATGCTGGACCTGCAAACAGCACAATATGAAGAACACTAATACATGAAACAACACTAATACATAATCTCAAGCAGACAGAAACGCAGTTTCTTTGGTGAAAAGTGATAGATACCTCAGGTATGAAATCAATTAGACCTTCAGGGATAAGAATGACACCATAGTTGTAATTAATTTGAGCTCTTTTACAAACAACATCAACAATATAGTCTGTGACATTTTTCAACGTCAGCTTCTTTGCAGCAACCTGAAATGTGTGTTTATGGGTTAATCAAGTTTGATAAAGGGCTGCTTTCCCATTAGCAAATTCTAATAATAAGATTAACATGGAAATTGATTTAATCAATCCTAACATGTGTAAACACAAAATAGAATGATCAGATATCTGAGGAACCTCTTCTCCGATAATTGTAATGTTTGGATGAGTTTGTAAAGCACATTCCAGCGTAATGTGTGAAGCTGCGCGCCCCATAAGTCGCACAACTGCAGACAGATGATTGCATATTTTATCGTTTGAAATCTATTCAATAATGGAGTCAGACACAATCATAGAATGGATATAAAGAGAGTGAGCTATAGGCTGGTGAAAGTATGATTCCTGTTATCTACCATAAAAAAATTGCTTCAATTTTTTTAACATCACATTTTATTTACGCATTAAACAAAGAATTTCATCGAAATACATAGTTTTTTTTTAATAATTTTTATTTTTATTTTGAAGGCTTTGTTGATATTCCTGTAATTGTCAATGATTCAATAAAAATGTTAAATTATTCAAACCCTTCAACAGCACAAAAGCAAGAGTTTTTTTAATATATTTTAACTAGCAGAAAATTCACATGACAAAGCTGTTGTTTTATTGCAAGGATAATGAATGATGAACTAATCATTTCTCGCTCAAAAGTAAAATGTGTGATTTCATATAAACGAAGTGGTGGTGATAAAAGGAATAGATATGATCATCTTTCTTGTCAATGTTTAATTTAATAAAAGTGGTGAAGAGAATGAAAAATGTTATGAGTATTTTGTTATAAAAGGAGATAGTATGTGTTTCATGTAATGGAAAATGAGTTAGAGATATCTTGTTGGCTGTATCAATCTAAACCAAGAATTCAAAATATGAAATCAGGACTTCACATGATACAATAAGAGCAGATGATGGCAGAGTTTTAAAGTGCAAAATGTTTAAAAAAAGTGAAGCAGTTCATGATGTAAGAAGAGAGAAGAGATAAAAACAGTAGAGAATAGAATCTACAACTCTCAAAGGCTTCTTTTTTTAATTGCTACATGGATCTAAAGAGTTCTCAGTTTTGTATACTTACAGTGGTAATATTTTCCAGTTGATCGGGCATCTATCATAACATTTCCAATCATTTCAGAATATATCTGCGTTACATTAACATAAAAAAAGGAAAATAGTCAGGTCATGTAATCATATGGCATGTTTCTAATAGGTATCACTATATCACCTTTAGCATTTAGAAAATATACATTAGTAAATTAATATTGAAAAGTATTTCTAGTATAGAAAGCCTGTAAATATCATGATACTATGGAAAGTGAAATCATATATAAACCAAATGTAAGTGAAGTGTTAGAAAAAGTCATAACATATGACTCCCTCCCAAAAAGCAAAGAAAGAAAATCGACCAACAGATCAAGAGGATGGAGAATATTTTATGGTGCAATCAGAATAATGCTATACATGATTCTCCCTCTGGCACATACAGAGGTGAACTGTTTCCTAAATATTATCCTTAACAAATAACTGGTGCTTAAAAGATAATTACACGTTTGTAGTATTATTTAAATATGTAGAGTAGAGACCAGAACCATATATGATTGAGTGAATAACTTCATTCACCTTGCAAGCAGTGTCAAACCCAAAACTTGTGGGAACTTCTTTGCATTTCAAATCACCGTCGATGGTTTTAGGGCATCCAATTACACGTGTTTTCAAATTTTTGCTCCTGCACGGATCCATATTAGAAGCACTGAACAATCGGGAATGCTGTACATATTCATACTTGAAATGTTCTATTCGTATACTATATACTATTATCATCAAATAATTATGTAATAAATAGACTGATAAATACCTTGAAATGTAAATTAAATACCAGCATGAAAACATAGTTTCCTTAACAAAAACATCCAAGGTAACATTATACTTTATACCAGCTAAGACAAACCTGAAGTTCTCAGCAAGGAGGCATGCATTGGTGTTTGAGTCATCACCACCAATAACAACGAGGCCATCCAAGTCTAGCTTTTTAGCTGTTTCTTCCGCTTGTTTAAACTATATCATGCAAGTAAATTGAATTACTCTTCAGACTTGAAAAGAAGATATATAAGAGTCGAGACGAATTAGTCAAATACTAAACATGTAGCATCATGAAACTACCTGCTCTGGAGTTTCAATCTTGTCCCTCCCACTGCAAATCATGTCAAATCCACCCTGTCAACAGAAATGGTTATTATTAGATGCAAATTCTTGTATTAATTGATAATAAAAATCAATAATGGTAATCTTCCAATAAACTATGACGAGAGTTTCTACACACTCATTTTTTTAGCACGTCGCTTATCTTATTATTTCACTAAGAACCGGACGGACCTGGATTCAGTTAGTCAGGTAGGTTTCACAGTCAATCAAGCCTGCAGTTATGATCTAACGTTTGGAATTATATTATCTTAATAAAAATTAAAAAATAAAATTAAGCCTACAATAAATAGTTTTTTATATTTTATTATGTTAATAAAATTAAGGGTCGTGATTTATTTCTCTTCATTCTAAACAATCCTCATGCCGAATGGGATAAAAATTAGGTGCATTCATTTTGCACGCATTCACCCGGTCAAGGCCTTTATTACAAAGATCAGACGGTTCAGATTTCAAATGTGTTATAATTTGTAATGCTGATTTACAACAAAATATGAGCCTCCGAACTTACAAGGAGTTGACAACAACAGTGTGAATGCATGAAAAATCAATTGCAGGGAATCCAGATACGGCCCACACCCCTCTTCCTGTTTTCTTTCCCTAGTGTATAAATAAATTATTCTAACTTTCTTAATACCATCACTCTTATAAAAAAAATAAAAAATTAGCAAGTGCATTCATAATTATTAGCGAAAATACATGTGTTAGTTTATCTATATTTTAAAATTATTTTGTTTTATTAACTTAAAAAATTATTATTTATATTAATTAATAAAAAAACGTAAATAAATTATTTATATATTAGTAAATGTTAAAATAAATAGACATACAAATAATTAATTATTATGAATATCATGTATATTCTTTTTATAAACCATTAAGAACAATGTAATAGTAATATCACTCTCTATACAACCAAACCATCAGAATTTTTAAAAAATGAATAAGCGTTGTCTAGAAAATGAGAAAGCTAGCAGGCCACGGAAATCGCACATCTCCAAAAATCCAGCTAATCAAATAACACAACATTCAAAAGATCGTAACAGAGGAAAAAAAGGAACCTGATTTCTGTAAGGATAAATAAATTCAGAGGTGAGTTCAACGTATTTGCACTTCATAATACCGGCGGGACCACCTCTGAAACCATACAATGTGCTTCCTTGTGCGCGCTCTTGCAGGTAATCTAAGACGTATAAAACAAGAAGAGAAGTTAAATCTCAAAACAAAGAAGAAAAAAGCGTTTCGCTGAACCAGATTCGAAAACGAGCGTTACCGAAGATTCCGGAGATGACATTGTGGCCTCCAGGAGCCTGGCCACCGGACAGAACCACGCCAATCTTCAACTTACGGTGCGTCAGAGCCACACGCGGATCGCTCGGCGCCAACGCCGCAGAAGGTTGGCCGAACAAACACGGAAAAAGCTTGGCGATCTCGTCTGCAGGCGCGCACGCACGATGAGAATGACGGAGAGTTCACGGATCGAGATGAGGGAGGGAGACTGACCTGGATTTCCGGCGGCGGAGCTTGGAGGACCGTCGAGAATGGTGAAGGGTTGATTGAGGACGGAGGGGAGAGGGAGCGCGTGGTCCACGCGCTTCTTCTGTACCTCGCTGTAGACGGCGGCGAGGCGTCCGGTGACGGGAGGGGAGGGGAGGGTACCATTAGGTACGGGTGCCATTTGGTTTGGTTGCAGAGAAAGTGTGAAGTGGGAGCGTGAATCTAGAAATGAGAGATATGTTTGGCGTGTTTGAATCAGCGGAGAAAGTAGGTTTGAAACTGGTACATAAAGAGAGTGAGAGTGAATATACCTATCCGCCGCTTTTGTTGTTACTACAATACAATGCAATCCTCACTTTATTCGGGAGAAACTATTTAATTATATTTAATTATCTAAAATTATGTTTACCATATTAAGAGGGAGTTGAGCAATGAAGAAATATTGAAAATGAAACTATACAAGAAAGAGCTCACTGCTCACCTAACTTTGAAGTGATTGAAAGAGGACACCTAACTTTGGTGGATCTGTCACGTGTGAATTTGGTGGTTGGACGAAAGTTTTATCCCTTCTAAATATGAATGTTACACCCTCTCTCGTCCCGCATTGCAACACAAGTAACCCGCGTTGTTACTAGTGAAACTAAAGTTCTTACTGATAGCATGTTTGGTAGACATGATTTTTACATGTACTTATAAAATTTTTACAAGTACAAGAACAATTTAGCGTGTGCTTAGGCTTATGTTTGTAAAATTGATAATTGATTAACGTATATTTGTAAACTTTATTGGGTTAGTATATTTATGTACACGAAATATTAGTGTTTGTTTATTATTTCTATTTTTTTATTATTTTTTATTCATATTGTTTTAAAGATATTGATTTTATTTTTAATTATTAATCTCCGTTAGTAAAATATGATTATCAATCATGATATTAACAGCAAAAATTAAAAGTAGCATAATTAGTAAGACTTAGAAACTAAACTATTTAAAGAATATAAATAAATAAAAACATAGAGAGAATTAATATAATTTCATCGAATTCATATTCTAACACAATCGAAACTATAATTTGCAATTTTTAACAGCAATAGACTATCTATAAATACATAATATTGAGTTACATTTATTACAATGACTAATTATCATTGAATTTGGAAGACCAAGATAATGCAAACATAAATAATGTTTTTTGTGATTGGGCTCAAACAAACTGATTGAAAAAAATAAAAAAATGAATATCATAATATTCTAATAAATAAGAATTATACATGAATACCTTATATTTGTAAATATCTGTTTCTTATTTATTTCTTATCACATTATAATTATTATAAAAGTTATATAATTTTTTTCTCTTTCCATGTTATTTGGATATGAATGTTCATATATCATTTTTCAAGAATAAATCATTCCAGTCAAACCTGCTCATAAATTAAGATGAGTAGAACATATGAAAACTTAAACTCAGCATATCTATTAAGAAAAAAAAAAAAAAAAAGGCCTTGTTAAGTCTTGGGCTTAACTAAAGCAACCGAGACTTCGGCTTCTCAGTGCTTCCAGAAGAGGTGACATTGAAATTAGATTTTGGAATACCTCGTGGCCATTCTGTGCACCCTCTCATCCCACGGAGTATGTGTGGGTTCATGTTACTGTATGCAGAGTTTCCTTGTTCCAACAGCTCCGAGTGTTGGAAGCTACCTTCAAAAGAACCTTGACACTGAGAAGTGGTCGCTGCATTCTGAGTTGGGCTGATTGGAAGACTATGGTTACACTCCTTTTGTTTGTGCCAACCATCACCTACCCTTTTATGTTGAGAACATTTTGAAGAAGAAATCGTTTTTCCACCATTGAGGCATGACCTTAGTTGTTTAGTGGTAACAAAAGCTTTTCTCTTTAAGCTTCCTACGGATGCTGAGCATACCCCATTAACTCCTGCCTTCAAAGATTCCAAACATGCCTTTTGACTACATTCTGCTTCACTTCCTAATATATTCTTGTCTTGGTTAAGATGAACAGAATAGATGTCTCCTCTTTGTGCCATTGAGCTAAACTTCTGATCCTCAATATAACCAATGGCTTCTAACGAATTAGTTAGTTGTAATCCAATATTATATTCACTGGAGGGACTTGTATGATGTTTAGGACTTTTATTCAACACTTCTTCATCAAGACTTTCAGTGTGTCTGTTGGACAAGGGGCTAGTAAATGTGGTATAGGAACCTGGTTTGGTCATCCCCTCTTCGGTGTTGTCTTTATTAATTAGCTCCTCGAAAGTGGAAAATGTAACATCTGACTTTGAGAAATCGTATGATAGCTCCACAATGCGTTTAATACTTACTGATTCAACTACCTGTTTGATCAACTGAGCATCCTCTAGTTCAGTGGTGTCTATTTCTGCACCCCTTGATCTCAAGAACTCTTGGAGAAAATCAATCAACTGGACCATCAGATTATATTTGTCTTCAAGTAAAAACTGTGCATCAGCTAGCTTCATTTGTACACGCTCTTCACGCCATAGCTCAGCCATTTCCATCATCTCTCTCTCCTCTTCCACTTCCTTGCAAATCTTCACGGAATCGCTTAGCAATCTCTCAAGCTTAGCCGTGTCTTCCCTCACTTGCATGGCTAATTCATTACACACTTCCTCTATCATTTTTCTTTCTTTCTTTTCTTTTCTGTAGTTTGTCATATACTGCTTGGAAGATAACTTGGTTTTAGCCAGTTCATGGACCAATTTGGCATTGAATAACTCCATCCTTTCTCTACTTTTTTTTTCCCTTGACAACTTGTCTTTTAAGTCGTCTAAAACTGATTCAATCTTCTTGCATTCTCTACACTTTTGGAAGACCTTTTCGTCTTCAAGATTCTGCAACAATTCTTTCACTATTTTCTTAGAGGACTTCTGTGTAGCTTTAAGTTCATTTATGGTCCTCTGAGCGCGTAAGAATTCTAAGAAATTAGTGATTCCAAAGTAACGGTCATCTTCAATTTTTTTGTCGTCGTTATTCTTCATGCCATGAATCATTGTAAACTTGTCGAATTCTTCATTCTTAAGAGCAGGGTTCCATTTTGTTGCCTCTTCTTTTGAACACTTGAGACATTGCATTGAAGATTCAAGCTGAAAAAAAAAAAAACTTCAAAAATATAGATTGGATTCTTGTATCTGAATTTTGTTTTCAGGAGGAGAAACATACGATGATGATATATTTAACTTCCAATTCGTCTTTCTGGCTAACCGGTTAACTTTTATTCATGTCATTTTAACTAACTTATATTAAATTTTTATAAGTTTTACTCTAATAAATAATATTTATAAATTTAGTTATTATAACTGAATATTAATTTAGTATATTTTAATTTGAAATAACGATAAATTTATAAGAGATATTAAATTTTATAAAAATATTTTAAAAAATATAAATAAAAAAATAAATTAATTTAACAAAAATTTAAAAAAATATTATATATCATTATTATAGAATTGTTGTTATTTTGGAAATATAATAAAGATAAAAATATTTTTATCTTTTCTATTATCAGAATTAACTTCAAATTTTCAAATTTGTTTATTTTTTAATAAATATGATTTGAGAAATTGATTATTGGATACCAAAGATTTTTTTTGTAATATAATATTTATAATTATTTCTCATTTTTCTTATTAAGAAGTTGTTAACATTTTAAAAACACTCATTATAATATAGATCAACTTCAATACAATTATTTATAAGATACAGATAATTTTATGTTAAGTATCAAGTTAAAAATCCTAATGATGCTCTTATACTAATAGAAAGAAAATCTAGTCATGATACAATTGTTTTTAATCAATAATCAAATAAATTTGGACACGTAAAAAAAGTGAGAGAAAATTACATTAAATCCATTCTACCATCAGTACCAACACTTTTCACTATAGGTAATTTTATTTTATATATTTTTGAAATTGTAAAAAAATAAATTTTAAATTAGAAAAAAAAATCCTAGAACACTTGGGGATAAAAAAAATTGTTTTCATAAGTTGATAATTTTTTTTTTAAATAGATAAGGGAGATGAACTTCATAATCCAAGTTAACAAAAATGGCCTTCTAAAAAATAGAAGATTGCAAATCATACCTCCCGTCGGAGTCCATTTCTTGAACGCAAAATGGTTATTGACTTCATTTGCTGATCTTTTCTCTCTTTAAGCTTTTCTCCAGAAATGTGACTATGAGGACAAATTGTCTTTAGGTTCCCGTTAGCAAGCTGAAGCAAATATGCGAGAGGGATGACATAAGAGACAATGAAAACAGGACAATAGAGAATGAATAATCCCCCATGTAACAATTATTTCTTATTCTACGACAGTTTTAAAATCTCACTAATTAAAATATCTTATCCATGTAATCTTTTAGGACTAATTAATGTATGAGTTAGGATAAATTAACGTGGATTATAATATCTAAAAAACGACCAAACTAAGTTTAATAGGGTGTCGTATTATGAGAAAAAAATTCGTTAATCCATTGAATCAAGTAAAAAAAATTGATAATTGAGAATAATCTATATTTTAAAATTCACCAAAATATTTAATCTAGCATGATCTGCATTAAGTCAACGCATTAAGAGGTAAATTTTGATTTGATTGAATTTTTAAAAAAATATATTAATATATCTATGTCAAATTAATTAATTAAAAAATATTTAACTAAAAATAAAAAATATATTTTTATAATTTAAAATTTTATTGATAAAATGGTTTTTAGAATTTTTTTATGGTATCTAACATATTTTTCGGTTGCGGAATTTTCCAACCGGTTCATCCGGATAACTCTCTTTTGACCGGTATACCATTCTTGAAAGTTTTATAAAAGAAAAAAAAAACACTGTTTTGAGTAATTCAATCTATCTAGTTCGTAACACTCATTTGAGAACTGACAACGATAACCCAATCCTTGCCATGAATCAAGTCACAGGATCTTGTCTTGATAAGCTCTAGAGTACCAATCAAATCAAAACTACTACTCTAAAATAAAACAAGATCTTGTAGTGCATTACTCAATTTGACAAGTGAAAACATGGCTAGAGCATAACGAAAGTTTCTAAACCTGTCTCTTACCTTTGAGCCATGTTGAAGATAAAACGTTTGACCACATCAAATGGCAAAACAAAAAAAATAGAAGACCAAATCTGATGAAATACGGAGTAAGAAAAAACAAGCTGATAATCACCTAGTTCCAGGGAATTTTGTAGGTGTCTCGGATTCAGGTTGCTGCCTAATGATCCTAGGAAATACTTTTTGAACTATATATGGTGCCTGATTTGTGGAAAGAAAAGTACTAAATCATGGTTATTTATGTGGTTTGCCGTTGTTTTTTGTCATAGAAATAATATAATCTTTATAAATAATTAGCTAACGTTTTTTTTTTTGAAGTAGCTAACAGTTAAGACGTGCTTCACTTCATTAAAGTTAGATCTTAGTCCTTTTTTTGAGGTGAACAAATTTTTCTGTATGCATGAAGTGTTTCTAGTCAGCATGACTTATTCAAAAATCTGGGTTGTGTAAGGTAGGTATTTTGTAAATGGTTGGAGTACCCTTATGTAATATATGTATCTCTTTTGGATAACCAGGAAAAAAAAAACTATACATGCTCAATGTAAAAGACACAAGAAACCCTTGTTGATGATGATTTTTTGCTAATTTAAAATGCTAACAATGGTTCACAACAATTCCAAGTGTCTGCAGAAGTCAGTAGACTTATTTTTCTACTAGCGTGTTTGGATTTACTTTTGGAACGCCAGGATACGTGCGTCAACTCAGAAGAGTTGCTACTTGCTGCTGTGAATCCCATGCATGAATCCAAACATGTTATATACGCCTGTATTAACAGACTTCATTAATCACATACGTTAGCTAGGGCCTGCTAAACAATTTTTTTATTCTTTATTTCTGAATCCTGATATTCTCGTTTTGCTGTCCTGATACTGAGTAAATATTGTGCAAATGTCTTCACATTACATCTTTGTGATTTTTCTTTTTTTATATCGACTTTGCTGGTTTAGGAAGTCTGGTATATGACCTTCATCCTTTTTCGGGTATAGGAAGTATGTGTATATCTTCTTTCTTGTATGTTGTTGATTTTTCTGAGTTTATGTCTTATGCTACTACTAATTTATGCCAAAATATTATTGGTTCATGTTCTTTGATGTACTAGGATAGGGTATTTGTTGTACACCATATTCAATACACAATAAGATTTATCCAAAAAAAAAGAAATATGAGTTATAATTTGGAAACTGTGATGGATCAAGAAATTATCCTTTCAAAATTGCAAAATGCCAAAAATATCATAAAACCAAAACAAGAAGCCTACAACAACAAAAAAAAATACAAAACAAAGTTAAAACTAATTTGATAACGGAAGTTGGAAAAACAATCACAAAAATCGTGCATATACTTAGGTTTTTTTCTTCAACTTATATATATATATATATATATATATATATATATGCAACCTAAAAATATTGATCAGAAAAATAAAACAAAGCCTTTCGCTTTATATAATAAATTGAGAAATAGTATATAATAACATAAATGCACTTTTTACCAATAAATTTCATTTCTTATTTGATGAGCTACGTTCATAATTTTATAATTTTTAGTAAATTTAAAATAATGAATAATTAGTTAGAACGTCTGTAAATCATTATAAATTTTCTGGCTATAAAAATTGGCTTGCAGTATTCTTTATTAGACACGAAAACCATAAAAAGTTTACTACATGTGATATAGAATAGAAGTATCATAGATGCAATTTCTTTCCAAAATATACTTGCCATCTGGTTTTCTATGCTTATACCGAACCAAACCAAAGAGTATGTATTGAAATCGAAACGAAGTCATGGAAATTGATGACACGATATATACCTGATACTTGGACGAAGGCATGGATGATGGTGCACATGGAAATACGTCACCGCTCATAAACAGCCACTGCCACCACTCTGCAGCGAGCTTCCTCGCTGAAATCTCATTTTTCTGTAAACCTTCCCAAAAATTGACAGGTGAAGTGTTATTACCTCCAGAGTGTTTCTTACTGAGGCGGAACGCGACGGCAATGCCGGGGTTTCGATGTTTCCGGCGACGAGGAATAGGCGGGATGAGGGTGTGGGCGGAGGAGACGATAGGGTCGCGTGAAGTTTTGTTGTTGGAGGCCATGAATAGTGTGAGAGAGATTGTTTGTAGACGTAGACGTAGAGGTGGTGGTTGAGTGTAAAAGGAGAAAGAGAAGAGCAAGAACATGGGAGAAAACGAACATGGGTTAGTTAGTTGTCAATTTCGGAAATCATAATGTTTCTCTGCCTCCCCGGAGGCTCACCAGCACCCCCTATTTATCTTCCTTTGCATGGATTTCATTCTATTTACTATATGTTTTCTTTTTTATTTTTGAAAAAAATTGATGTTTTAATATCCACTTTTTTACAATACATATTTGATTATTTAATTATAATAGTACAGTACTAATATTTAATAAGAAACCTATTTTACTCAGTACTGAAACATATTTGATAACACTGAAACTCTTCACTAATTTAAATCTGACATTCTTAGCAATTATTACTGTAAAGTGTACTGATGACTACGTCGGAAATCATGTAAATCTCATTCACTAACAATAACAAATACCAAACCTCGGAACCCACGTTGCTTAAAAATAAAATTCAAAACTATTTTAGTATATAATATATGATAAATAAAAAATTCATTTTCACTTAATATATTTCTAATATAAAGACTCGTGTCAAATTTCAATAGTTAATTTTAGTAAATACGATAAATAAATTCATTTAAATAAAGTATTTTCTGTTGTAACACACTTCAATGAATTGATATTAACTATCATATTTAAAATATTTAGCTGGTGAAATTTGGTGTAACTATTTAAACTTTATATATATATATCCGATATTTTTACACGATTGCGAAAGGATTTTAACCATGATTTTTTTTGTAGTGATAGTTAAAGAAAAAAATTTAACGATAGTTGATAACTTTCGTAAAATGTATAATATACATCAAGAGTTTTAAAAAATCATAATTATATATATATATATACACTTTAATTTAATTATTTCTATAACAAAGTCAATATAATTATTCACACAATATATAACAGAAATAGACTATAACAATAAAAGTAAAAAAAAAAAGTTATCTTAAGAAGAGACGATAAAAATAACAAAAATATATGATAAAGAAAAAAAGAGAGAAAATAAAACATTATATTGTGTGATGGCGTTATTAGTATAATAACCTCAAATTAAACGTGGTCTCAATTTTATTATTTTGTTATAATAAATATCTTTAAAATAGATATAATTTATATTATTTTTTATTCTAGTTATTTAGATCTAAATCATCCATTCAATTTCACGTCAATTAACAGAATAGTTGATATTTTTAATAAAAACAATTAATTTTAGTCACGATAGACTCATAAAGATAGATATTTAAGTGTGAGAAATTATAACTGTGCATTAATTATAATTTTTTTTTACAAATAATTGAATTAGAAAAAAAAATATAAGATGAAACTAGTGATGCAAAAGAAGCAGCGTAAGAGGGTGGGTCCCGATTCAGCAATCTTAGAAATACGTTCTGTAATGGCATTAAAAAGTTTCAGGTTATCAAATGAAATTGATCACGTTGCATTAAAAAAGTCGTACCGAAAGGAGTGATGATCTAACAAAGAAAACGTGTATTTAATTTGGGTCATAATGTAAAGAAAGTTCTATATTATATGGACCAAACTAATCCTACTCATTTTACAAGTTCTAATTTAAATACTAGTTCCATTAAAGAAAATTAAGAGGCGTGATAATGAACATTAAAATTTAAGTTTCAAAGGAAGTTTGCAACTTGATTTATAAATGTTGTAATAATAAGGAAAATCAATGAACATATACAATCCCCAATTATTACAAATTGATTATTGACCTTAACATCCCAATTTATTAATAAGCTATCGTACCTATATTTAAATGTTTAATTATCATTGTCACTTGAAAAACTCAACTCATTATCCTCTACACAGTTTAATGTAACAACTCTTTATCCTCTTCCTTTCTTTTCTTTCGTTGAGTAATAAGAAAACAAAAACAAATAAAAAAATATATGTAATAAGTGATATATATATATATATATATATATATATATATATATTCAATAATAAATTATATAAAAAATAAATTAAATATTTGTATGATTGCAATTTTTTTTATAATTATTAATTAATTCTTTACGAATGAAATAATTTTTAAATAATTAAGATTTATTTTTTTTAAATATGTACTTTATATATATATATATATATATATATATATATATATATATATATATATATATATATATATATATATATATATATATATATATATATATATATATATATATAGTCGCTTCTCCTCCCATAACCAATTACATAGAGGTCAAGTCAGGTACCAAGTATCCTATGATGGAAAAACCAAAAAAAGACATATTCTTGGCAATATAATTTTATAAAAGCATACCTAGGCTAGAAAAAAAGACACTGGAAAAATCATATTCCTGACAACAGCAATCTACAAAAATCATATTCTTGACAACAGCAATCTACAAGTGACCCTAGGATGTTGGTCTATATAATGTGCAACCCCATAAGATTGCTCTACAATACAATCCTAAACGTGATCTTATGAGATTGGTACTATTTGAGGTTGGAGAGTTGTGTAGTGTTCAAGTCGTATGCCTCTCTGATAAAAATATTTCCAAAAACCCCTCTCTTGTATTGAATATGATAGCACAATATATACATAAAATACAGAAACATTCTAGGCTATAATTACGCTAACCATTATAGTCGGTATCCTAAATTTGTCTATTAACAGATATGACATTAATGTGCATCACTGTGCATCGCTGTCATGCCAAGCTAAATATGGAAAAAATAATCATGTAGAATCATGGCATGATACGGTATTTGTAATCGTATATTCTATGTTTATCACCCTCCCTCAAGATGGAGTATGAAGGTTATGAATGCCCAACTTGCCTAAAAAAGAACCAAATTTAGTGGCGCCAAGAGATTTGGTGAAGAGATCAGCCGAGTTGATGATGAGTGGACACATAGGAGGGTTGGATATGATTGTGTTGTATTTCATCACGAATAAGATGACAATCCACTTCAATATGTTTTGTCCAGTTCATGAAACACAGGATTCTTGGCAATGTGAAGGGCGGCTTGGTTGTCACGATAGAGAGTCATAGGGTCGGTGTGAGTAATGTCTAGGCTCGAAAGAAGGCCTTGAAGCCATTTCAACTCATATGTCGTGTTGGCCATAGAACGATATTCCGCCTCGCCGGATGATCGAGAAACCGTATGTTGCTTCTTGGTTTTCCAGGAAACGGGGGATTGACCAAGGAAAATAAACCAACCGGTGAGAGATCTTCGAGTGAGAGGACAACTTGCCCAGTCCGAGTCACACCAACCATAAAGACGAAGGTCACTCTCTCTTTTTAAAAGCACACCACGACCCGGCTGCCCTTTAAATAGCGTACCACGCGGAGTGCAACCCGCCAATGCTCCTGACGCGGTTGGTGCATGAATTGAGATAGGACATGAACACCGTAAGATAATTCAGGTCATGTAAAACACAAGTAAATAAGGCGACCGACGAGACGTCGATATTGACTCGGGTCGGAAAGTAGTTCGCCATCGCCCAATGCTAAACGATGATTTTCTTCGATTGGCGTGGACATAGGTTTCCCTCCAAGCAATCCCGCTTCAGCCTATGATGTCCAACGCATACTTCCGTTGACACAAGAAAATTCCTGTAGGAGATCCGGCAACCTCTACCCCAAGAAAGTATTTTAATTTCCCTAAGTCCTTCATACGAAAACATTGATGAAGATAATCTTTGAATTGCGCAATGTCTTCATGATGATTGCCAGCAATGACTAGGTCATCCACGTAAACTAACACAACCAGTTCGACATCTCCTTTGCGAAAGATGAACAAGGAGTGATCGGACGAAGAACGTTGAAACCCATATTGAACAAGAGCAGTTGAGAGCTTGGCAAACCAACACCGAGGAGCTTGACGAAGACCATAAAGGGACTTGCGGAGACGACACACCATACCCTTTTGAGACACCAAGAACCCCGGCGGCATTTTCATGTACACATCTTCCTCAAGATCGCCGTGCGGAAAAGCATTATGGACATCCATTTGATGGAGTTCCCAGTCTTTGGCTACTGCCACTTGCCAACACTTGTCCGAATGGTGACCATCTTTGCCACTCGGGGCAAAGGTCTCGTCATAGTTAATCCCCTCAACTTGGTGATTTCCCAAGACAACTAATCGGGCTTTGAAGCGTTCAACGCTCCCATCGGAATGATATTTGATTTTATAAATCCACTTGCAACTCGGAGGCTTCTTCCTGTCGGTAGAGGAGTAATGTCCCATGTTTCATTACTTTGGAGGGCCCGAATTTCACTAGCCATGGCATCTCTCCATCTAACATCCCGAACAGCTTCAAAGAAATGCACGGGTTCTCTCTCGCATGAAGGGCTGCAAGAAAGGTTCGGTGGGGGAAGGAGAATTTAGCACAATTTAAGTACTTTGTCAAACTGTAAGGCATACACGAGGAAGCTGAATGTGGAGTGCGAATTGAGGGACCGAGTTGTAAAGTGGTGTTAGTGACATAATCACGAAGCTTCACGAGATGGCTTTCGTACACGAAGACCTTTCCCCGGGGATGCGGGGACAATATGCTCCTCGGGAACCTCTAGTTCGTCATCATAGAGTCGGTTTGTTCGGTGGGAGAAACGATATGGGTGGGAGGCTCTTGTTCATGGCATTCGGCGTGGCCCTCCCTGAACTCGGTTGTGGGCACATCTTCGTTGTGGGGTTAACGTCATCGGTCTCCACAACGTGTTCCGCATTGTTCATTGCACCAAGTCCAGGCAATGCTTCCTCGACAATGCCAACATCAACAGTAGGCAATCCTACCTCTGAATGTCTACTGTGGGCAAGAGAGGCAAACGGGAATTCATGTTCTACAAACTTAACATCTCTCAAAGTCCAGAAGACTTCTCTTTCCAGATCAAACAATTTCCAGCCCTTTTTTTTCGATTGAATATCCAACAAATACATTCTTGCGACTTCTACTTGCAAATTT